CATATAGAACAGTTTAGAATTGCAGAGAAGTGTGAGACTGGACATGCGTGACAGGATTGGCATAGCGACAAGCTATAGAACGATGGGGCTGGGGAACTGGTGTACGCATCAATGTTCCAACCAAAATCTATGAAAGTCATATCATTGGCCTAGGCAGAGTAGTCAGCGATGGGCATACAGGCGTATGCCCTCCATATAAACGGTGAGGGAACGGACAGCCCGTGTCACTGAGGTATCGGCATCCCAAGGGCGGACAACAAAATGCAACGGTTGGTGGGGTTGAGATCGCTCCAGCCGCCCAAAACAATCGGCTCGGCACATTGGACACGGAATCTGTATCTTTCCTGAAGCTAGCAGTCGCGACTCGAAATACTGACGGATATATTGACTGAAGCACTGTTGATGACACACATGGCCACATCCAACTGCAACAAGGCCATCAACAGTGTTCTCCCAGCAAATGGGGCAGGTTAGTCCACTGCTTTCGCACAGGATATCTTTGACGTGCAGAAGAGTCGAGCGGGGTGGTGCTATCGTTGCGCGTTTTGAATCCGGGCCATCCGGTATCACAATTGGATTGTCTACTTTGCTGGTTAGAAGTGCATGCAATGGCCCTAGTATCAATCACACCTGGACTGTTGCCAACATGGCTGGTTCTGTGCGATCCTGGAGTGTTCCGCTTGGCTGGTATAACGACCGCCAAGGATGGTGAATAGTGGCGATAGGGGAGTGTGCGCGCAATATGTCTTCGAGGTGCTGTTCTCTGTTGTCTATCGGGCATCCTTGCTGCGTGATTCTATCAACCTAATTAGTGACGTCGCCTCTGACAATGTCCTATATCTACTAACTAGACTCACCGGGATAAACGCTCGACGTCTCGTTGCACCATGGGTGCTGTCACACTGAGAAATCGCTATCGGGATCTAGTGGACACAAAAGCCAAAAAGCGGCCATCCAAGAACAGTCTTCAATTATTCGGATCATAGACGTGAGCGAGTGAATATAAAGAAGTGTTCTAAATTGCGTAACATCGGTGGTAATATCTAAGAGCCTTCTGGGTCTTGAGACATATGATTCTTTATTTATGACATCTGGATTATGGTCAAAAGGCAGTTCTCTAAGTTGGACTGGGTCCATTCCTAATGCTGCGGAAACGCCTCGCTAACGAACAGTCCTCGGATCTGCGGGTGGGAAGATTGTGGAAAACAAAGTGTTGTTTACTCCGCGACGTGCGCTAATCCGCATGAGGATAGTGAACTCCGCGTGGTAAGCTAAACACAGATCATCTCAGCTTGATCTTCAAACAACGCAACCCGGCAGAGCGACGATGGCCACGGAGGCTAATCTGTGGTCATCCGTACGATCCATATATTTGTACTGTTTCATACATTAAGGTGACGGTCAGTACCGCACAGTGTACCTCGTCGCAATGCTGATGGACCTTTCTAAAGCGGGCAAATCAAAACTTGGCTGGCTCAAGAATGTGCTGCTAACTTAAACTAATCGGCCCCGTATAACTCATGCATCCCGCGAGTCAATTAGTTCATGGATCGACTAATGATCAATGATATGAACTATGGTTACCAGGCTGGTGACACTTCTGGGTTGCACCACGATGGCTTGGCGAAATCATTCCACCTTGGGCTAGCGTACCTCGCGGGGTAGGGTCCATCAGGCTTTTTGTTCTCTGGCTCAATTCACACCCCACAAGGGTCACTAGGCATCTCAATCTCATTATTTTGTCTATTGTGGTTTTGAAATTGACGCAGGTGAATGGTTTGCTCCACTGTTAAACACAGTTCAATGGTACTGACGGTGCCGTAGACCCGCCAGTGTCCACAACTTGATATGTATGTTATTGTAATAGAGGTCTGCCAGCTGAAGCATATATGGACGTGTCATACTGTACTAATCTCCCGTCATTCGATTATATTACTGGTGTTTTACTTCCCAGATCGGGCGGCAAAATCCATATCTTTACACCGGTTACCCTCATCTACCCCCTATCACCTCTATTCTATTCTATCGGCATCACTATGGGTACACAGCCGAAGACGGCTGGCTACCACCGGAATGCGGCTCGGCGGAGAAAGACTATCTTTAAAAAGTGCGAAGAGTTGAGCCGGCTTGGGGTCGACCTTTGGATTATTATCGGTTCAACTGATCAAACACATGTCTTCAAATCAAGGGACCGTGGTCTGTTTGATAAGTTTGACAGGCAAGTGGTATGGAAGACTGATTCGGCTCTGCTAGTCAATACAAGGAGTATGAACTAAGTTCAAGTAGATGCTATCGTGCGCTCGACCCAAATGGTAAAAGGCTCAAAAGGATATCCTGGTACCAACCATAGCGCCTCGTCGAGTGCGCATTGTCGATCGGCTGCGTGCGGACCATTCGGGTTCTGCGATAGAGGAAAGTACAACCGTAGTTAAATGAGAGTACTGACTATGCTCCTACATGACCCTTGTACACAATCCGTAACATTTGTAAAATTGCCTGTCGATGGGAGGAGAGTAGAACATTCCCGAATTTCGGTTTGCATCGTAGTCGTTCGTTAAGATAAATCCTTTGGCTTAGTCAAGATTCTGTAATATCACGCCCTGAACTACATGCAATGTCATCTATATGGTTTAGTAAACACACGAACGGTAGATTACATCTCGGCAAAATCTAAACGAGCCATTTCACAAACAGTTCCGTTGAAAGGGGGAGAGCCACGGGTCAGATACTCGATTCTGGTGGGTCTACGCTTTTGTATGAATCATAATTAGTGTCTGTTTGTACGCAGAGCTGGACAGTGGAGGATGCCTGGAAGACTTTGCGTATTGCCAGTGGCGCGCACCTAGTGTAGTGGTGATAAAGCTGAGATAAAGAAGGCCTCGTTTCCTGCTACATATAAGATCCCACGATGATCTTGTTGAAGACATGTCTCGGCTCTCAACCAATCTTGGAATTGCTGGATTGAATCGTTCCAATACAGACCGTCCATCTCTTTGGGTTAATAACCTCAGCTAGAACGCAACACCTTAAATCCAAAATGCCCGATACAAAACGCATGAGAAAGGCTGATATTGGTATCAAGCAATCTGGTACGCCGGATATGGGCTTGTAAGTGCAGAGTGGCCCACCGGGTATGTAAACACCCAACGGCGGTCAGTGCCATCCTGCTGCTGCGCAAAAAGCTTGCTCTGGTCATATCTAGCCCCCCACGAAATACCCTCGCCGAATGCCTCTGAGTCCATCGCGTATCGGGACTTCAGCAGCTGCACCATACTATCAATTTTATTGGGCTAGCCGTCGGTGTTCTCGCGCTCGTGGTTCTGACTGCACACCAACTTTGCGTGGGCTCTTTAACCCACCGCTTGGACACAATAGAAGTATTGCTTGGCAGTGCTGTGGTCTATGCCTTTGTTTCTATTGTGTGGGATGGACTGCTCTCCTGGAAACTAGTATATCCTGACTCTCAGACGCACCGCAGACCGGCATTAGCAATGATTCCATTGTGCATGCTGTGCGTGGCGATCGGCATGTTCCTCATCGGCTGTCTTCTGTGGTACGCAGAACGATCGGAGAATCAACGTGCGGCTTACTTCCTTGGTTTTCAGTTGGTTGCATGCTCGTGCCTGGCCATAGGCTTTACTCTGCAGTTGGTAGCATCTGAGGAGAAGGGTGCTCCGGAATCTGACATGGCTCTTGGTACCTAGTGATACCCAAGCAGAACCCAAGTGGAATCAGGCAGGCGTTCACGAAAAGCAGCTGGCAAAGAGTAGAGTGAAAGTTGGTAACACACATGTTGGACGCATGTAACTGCTAAATGTGCGGTGCTGCATCTACTAGAGAGGCGTCTGCAGTCTTCAGCCTTGATCGCATAATATATCTATTGTATTTGAACTCAAATTGAATCTTTGATGTTAATCTGACATTCTACATATGTACGCACGACCTCTATTTCTGTCATGGTTTTAATATTCTGATAGACACCCTTCACCTTGGCCATCACCGTCACCATTCTATTCTCATATAGATTGATATGCAGTGACTCTCTACAATGCCTGGCAGGTTTGGCTACGACATTGCCCTCCCTTTACGTTATTGCTCGGCGCGACAGTGAGGATGTTCGTTCATTTATAGGTCATTCACTTTTGGACCATACAGATCAACATGAATACCTTCATCTAGCCTTATAGATACTGACTATTCTTGGGGGAGTGGTCTAGAAAAGAAGCCAAAGCGGAGACTGATGGGTTTAGCGACGCGTAGGCAAGGGGAAAGCTAAAGAATACCGGGGCCATACCTATGCTAATACGGCATGGATAAGTAGTGAAGCGGATCCTACCTTAAGATCAGGATTAGAGACCCGGCCTTCTAAATAAGGGTCAATTAACCTGGCCCCGCAATTCGGTGTGACGCCAACGAACCAACTCTCCAGATTGCTAGGTTATTTAAATCCAGTGCCAATTGACGAGACTGGAATTTACACTCTCTTAGAACACAGTCTATTCTAGAGGAATTACAGGACTCTCATGGGAAGTATGTGGTGATTTACTGTACCCCTTGAGATACTAACCTGCCTAGAATATAATATTGTTGAGTTACTACTGTGCCCAAGGCGGAAATCAAGATAAAACCAAAAAACACTAGATTCATGGCATAAATTCGTGTACCGAAGCCACCAGGTACTAAAGGCTCTGCCACGAGAAGCCCTAGCCCTGCCTGTGCTCCCTGTGCTGTGCGAAACCATACTCAAGATCACATCTGAAACAGTAGCCCGGGTCGTCATTAAAGGTTCGCCCCTTTGCTAGATATTATTTACTTTGTCTCGAGTAGCGGCGGTACGCATATATGTAGAAATCATTCCCTGAGACCGGGAATGATCAAATCACATACGTGCCTCAGCGACAGTCTGCAATCTCGTGATGACTTCACAGCGCGTGCGGGCATCCGGACAACAAAGAATCAACAAAAACGCCCGGGAGCGAGAGAAGCGGCGGAGAGACCGGCTGGTCCAATCCACCCATGACTATGGCTGCCTTTTCGGAGCCAAAGTATACCTGATCACTCAGGACAGTCGCGGAGAGGTTACAGAGTACCAGAATTCGACACAGTGGCCACCATCGCGGAAACAATTAGTGAGTTGCATTTACTTGGTGATTTTCATGACAGTTAATGGAGGCTCTAGCAACACTATTTTCCCATGGCGGAACGACTAGGTCCAAAGGACTTCAGAGCATCCACACAGAACCCTACCGGAACGGCAGCTCCAGGTCCTTTGATCCAGATACCGCCGCCAGGGACAGGCAGCGAGCCGTGTCAGACGGAAACTTTCTTCCCGGGCAACAGCTTGAATCCGGAAGACCAACAGGGCCAGACAGCCAGAGCTGACCTACAGCATGAGATGAATGCACCGTACACGTTGGATTTTTCCCCGGACACGGGATTTTTGGATGCTCTTTTCGAGAATGGCATAGACAAGGGGCAAAGTTTGTGAGCAGAAGACACCGGTGCAGTATCCATGACTGTCTTGGCGCGCATTATTTTCTTTTTCACAGTTAAAGCTATCCAAGATGTCGCTTATGGGTAGGTGATATCAAGATGGCTTCAGCTGGCTGTTTCCAAAAAGAAAGAATCAGTCAAGATGTCTAGAGATTTCATAATTACGTCCCGGAGTCTAATCTAGTGGTTTCGTGCTATTATCTCTATTTTGGAATCATTAAATTGTAAAGTAAAGCAGGGTACCGTGTATATTCAACTTCGCCCTGTAATATAAGGTCTATTGAGCTTTAACTTGTACACATCCATTTTTGCACTACCAAGCAAAAGGACCTAATGCTACATTACGTACCAATAGCCATTATTGTATTTACTTTGAATATGCCGTACCGTAGAACAATTAAATATATCGAAAACGGTACGTAAACTCAATGTCATGGCAACAATCTATTCCGGATGTACTTTTGCTTGCTAACAGGATGAGTCTTCACCTTCCCCGACCATCGTGACCCGTACATGAATCGCGTTGTGCTGGGCTGTCAGTTTTTCACTCAAGATAAATGCGCATCCTGGCTAATGATTCAGAGTGCGGCAAGCGCGAGGTTGCACCCAAACATGACCACCGCACAACAGGTTGCTCCCAGGCTGTACCGCCCGGCCGCGCCAGGATGAACGGATTCGACAAAGGGAGTGTTCGTGGGCAAATCCCCGAGCTTGGCCTGCAGAACAAAGATAATGCTCGTAGAGACCAGGAAGCACGCCAAGCAAGCTATACTCAATAAAACCAGTATGGTCCACTTCACCCAACGGCATCGCGCCCACGAGGGCTGGATAAAAAAGAAGGCTGTAAGCATGTCCACCACAGCCAGCGCGAGCCCGGCTTCCACGGCATGCTGAGCAGCCCCCATGACTTTAGTTACGATCATCTCCCCAAGGCGTTCGAAAGACCGGACGGTATCCCCAAGAAGTGGTAGCTGGGGGTCAGGGAAGATCTGACTGAATTCTATGGGAAGCTGATGGCATTTCTGGTGGTCTGATCGGTACTGGGCGCACATCATCCGAGTGCCGATAGACAATTGTTTGGGCAAGTCGACCCCTGCGAGACCCAATGGGAGATGTGGCGCTGCTGTGGCAATGGACTCGGCGGCACTAGTCATCGCAGAGGCTGCCGCAATGCCCTGTGTTTCCACAGCAGTCACACCGTCCTGGGCGGCACTTTCTACTGTTCCTGGTATGTTGGGGCTATCGGGTGGAAAAGGCAATCCTCGCTGTTCGACGTTAATGCCCAAGTGCCCCCAATCCATCTATATACGAGTCAGTATGTACTACAGGCATTTATGGCGATCATCAGTGTAACAGGATCCCAGTTGTAGTATGCTGCATCACTTACAGGGAAGGTTGCTATCCCGCCTTGTTTCACTGATGGATTGGCCAACAATATGATTGCCAATACGGCAGTCGCCAACGTTCCTGCCAGGAGGATAGTGCCGCTAAATATGCGCGCTCGTTGCTTTCGCGACTTTGCGGTTGCACTCATAGTGATAGGGTCAAGGGCCGCCGCAGCACGCCGTGAGCTACCATCATGGCCTGGTAGACGTAGGGTTCTGTATAGACCATCTGTGTTTCCGGTTGCCAAATGAACTCCATGCTGGGTATGCTGGGTCTCTAACTGCCCGGTTGCTGCCATGTTGGTACCACACAGAAATGAAGAGCAAAACTAATTGGGGGAGTGTTGGATACTGTACTGTATGTGAAGGCACTTTTGATCCCTGAGGCGCTGAATAAATACATCTGACGGAAACGTACCAATACTGTAATGAGCGGCCTTATGTATCCCTGTCTGGTCTGCGGCCATCATCGCTCCAGAACTACAGTTGGGAGAAACTAATTTCAGTGGGTACTGGGTTCCTTTGCTGTTCTAGAAAGAACTGTGCTGTTGCCGTCCAGGCAGTTCTAGGCTGTTGTCCATTGTAAGAATGTGATGGTAGAGAGGGCGAGCTATGTACAACGTATCCTTGGGTCTGCATAGGGGTACCTAATAATAGACTCAAAATATAAAAGCATCAGGTTAATGGTGGCAGATACATGAACTGATGGATTCTTTGTTCCACGGTTCAAATCACTTGGTAATCTCTATAAAGCCAAAGAAACCAACTGCACTGTACATATCTGCTTTGAACTCAACCACCATCTGAACAATTCCACACTCTACACTTGACGGTTAGTAGCTACCGGTAGCTCTTGATATCGATGATGGAGAACAGGGTGCCTTCCTCACGCCCGTCCACCCCTACTGCTGCTTACAGTCATGTCGTTGGCTCCACTATCCCGGTGGACATGATTGATTTGTCTCCGCGATCAACGATTGGAAGCAACCCACGCAAGCGCATGAGGTCTCCTGTCGATGAGGGATCTGCAATATTGGCTACGAAGAGGTTGAAAAGGGAGCTCGAGCTCACCCCAATGAATGGCCAGACGAATGCATATTATTCGGCGCGTGCTCAGCGCTCCTTGACTTTCCCAGATCAGGGACCAGTACCGATATGCGAGCAATGGCAGACTCGTGCGGATCAGACTTTAACAGAGGGGACTCAGCCCAGTGGGGTTACTCTGGATCTGCTACAGGGATTTTCTCGACGCAACGCTGTAGCGCGCCTGATGCCCTCACCATTTCCACAACACACCCCGGAGGAGGAAGAGCGGCTGTTCAATGAAATGGCCCATTGGTACAAGCAGTATGTCTACTTCACATGCGAGAACGCCCTTGTGGTCTTTTCTTAACTAGGTTAGGTTTCGTCTGCAGATGTGGTCGCCGGTCGCTTCCATGATGGGGATTCGATGGGAACAGGCAGAAGACCTGAGCTGGCAAATGGGAAGAGCAGAGCTTGGTCGTCGGATGGCCCTTGACCAGTCCTCGACTGATGGCCAGTAGTTTATCACTCGGAGGAAGTAGGCACTGACTCTCTGGCAATCAAGATACTGCATTAATAGCCATCTTTTTGTGTATACATATATACTATCTGTGTGTTTTTGTAATCCCGCACCATAAAACGTAGGATATCTAACATACTGGGCATGCTATGCGGGCTCGCCATACGGGATCCTCTTGGCCACTTTTCGATTAGCGTACGTCATGGGTTGCATCGTGATCCGTCTTTCGTTGAGTGGCTCAGGTTGGAAGCCATTATAGTATTTTCGATTTTTTATTATGCAGTTTCATTCATCCAAGTACCGTTAATTGACTGTACAATGACGAGATAACTCCAATGCGGAGAAACGTCCTGGGAATATATGGAGAGTGGTCTACCACGCGAGATTCCCTATACCAAAACAGGTTTAGTGTACCCCGCGGTGTAAGACGACTGCTGTGGACCGCTCGAGATACCGCCCAGCATACACTACCCCCTATCCGGTTTAGCGTACCTCGCGGGGTAAGCTTTTCGAGATACAACATCGGTACAGTACATACAGTAGTTCATTCCCCAAATACCACGTCCATCTTGGCAGTTCCTGGGAATCAGCTTAGCGTACCACGCAGGGCTCATTACTGCTGATCTAGATTAGCATATCTCACCGGGATAAAGTTGCTTTGTATCTAAAAGATCTATCAAATCCATTTATATGGTATTAACCTATTTCAGATATGGTGTCGGGCGTATCAGCTTGACATTAATGAACACGGGAGGAACAGGAATTCCAGGAACGCAAAACCAATAGACTTTATAAAATTAGGGAAATAGAGTCACTTTGTTGATTGCTAAGCGATCACACAAAAAGGTGGCACGACGCTGTTTTTAGCCAACACTAATTCTCCATGAGTGGGGCTAGTCGTCCTGGGGTTTTAAATACTGTGTAAAGTATGGTACGTGCGTACCCCCTTACAGTTCCCTTCTCAATTTAGGGGATGTGGAAAGCCATCTGCTTCTTGTGAAGATGGCAACCACAACACTTTTGGAATCTGAAAATGTCCGGGGAACTTGCCATAACAAATCAATTGATTTTACGACGCGAGATCATGAAAAAATCTTACAGTCGCTCAGGCTGGTCAATCCCCCTATACCCGAGCTTGCGGCGGGACTGAAGGATTATCTATCTGTGCTAAGTCGGGGGAGTAGTCTCGCGCTCAGCCGCGGAGAGGGCCTAGCTAACATACGCCAAAGCAAAAGCATTGAGAGTCTCTTTTCAACAGCAACCCCGCGTGTGATAGACGGCCCACCGATAACTTGGACGATGCTCATCCTTTTCGCCGGGCCTCAGTTTGATGGTCCATCGCAGTTGAAGATTGGAGACACTCAGGTTGAACTTCCAGAAGACGACTTCAATCTCATTCGCTCTGGTAGGCCTTGGAGGTTTCTTTCTCCTTGGCCAGATAGCGACGACTGTGAAAAGGAACTTCGGTCGGTCGAGAGTGCTCTACAGGAGCTTAATGACACTAAGCTGAGCATCACCGCAGGTAGGCAATACATAACCTTTACGCCACAATCAGAACTAAATCATCTGATCACAGTCCTAAGCGAGATCTCTGTTGTTGAACATTGTCTACGGAATCGCTCTCATTTCGTTACCCAACGTTATGCAAATCAACGCGGTGGTATTCCCCAAGAAGAAAACCCCGGCTGCGGAAGCACTAAAAGCCGTCCACCCCCTTTGGCTGGGTCTGGCACTACAATGTCACAGGCAGATGAAAACACTGCTTACGAGCATGTACCGCCGTTCCCTGCAAATATCCCCTTGCCAGCCAGCGAGCAGTCTGCCCAGATGGGTGCCCCCGATCCATGCAATGCAGGTCTTTCAAAATCATTTGTGGCTGCAAGCAGCGTTCAGGTTGATATCCCCCAACCAATAAATACAGTCAGGCCAAAAAGGAGATCGCGTGCCTCCAATTTCATTGAGACCCTAAGGGAATAAGTTAGATACCGAACAGAGTCTTGGCATTTCCCTCCCTATTAATCTGAGAAAGGATCCTTGGCGATTCAGAGACCGACGGGGCAATGCGCTGGTCAGAAGATGGACGTTCCTCGACTACAACCCAAAAGCTCTAGTCGGATTGAAACCACAGTAGAACAGTGCAATGGCCTTTTAACCTGGCTTCCTGACGCATGAAGAATTCGATGACCAGGTTGAGGACTATCAATTTATTGCTTCCTACGGCGATTCAGATGAGGTGAGTTTGGATTTTAGCTGTGGCATTCTCAGTGATCAGCCTAGCTGTTTGCTCACATGCTTCTTAACTGGTCCATTTTCATTCAACAGTGACGAATTTAGTAGGCAACTGAAAGATGCAGATTTGCCTAGACTCGAATCATCAAAACCTGTACGTTTGACTATCGATTCGGATAACTGATTATGCTCTCCACAGGCCGATTTTTCTCTTCTTATACTTTGGTGCAATCTCCTCGAACCTTCTACTAAGTTATGACCAACCACGTGTCTGAGCTGAAGTCAGATGCAGAATGATATTGAAAAATTCTATTCAGCGATGTTCCTGCTTTCCACGAGTAACTGGGGAATAATGAGGTCCACAATTTTGGCACAGCTGTACCCGTTGCGTTTCATAAACCATGATCTGGGCAGGTATATTCTCTCGGCAGCAAGGCGATATCTCTACAGGCACCCTGGATGGCTCCGACACTGCAGTTCGAATCGCACATGCACTATATTTTCAGCACTGCTGACATACACTAGCATTGGAACTTACAGGTATGAATAAAATGGGGCCTGGGCATGTGGCACGTGCCTTATGCTACACTGTCAGCTCTGATGCAATGGTCGCGGCAATGGGTACTGACTTTGAAAGAATAATCAACTTCAATCGGCCCACAGAAGCATCAGATTGGAATGCTTGAAAAACCAAGGGGTCCCAAAAAGCTTCGTGGAGAGTGCCATTTAACCAAACTAGTTTCTCGTTGTCTACCATCACGTCTGCAAATTCTTCTGGTCTTCTTCATGATGGTCAGTATATTTCAGCGAATCAATGGACAGAGCACTTACATAGGCTGTCCGTTTGGCTCGAATTCTTGCCACTGAATTTGAAATCTATATTTCAGGTTCGCCTGAGATGTCGGGAGATGAGAGTTCATAATGATACAGGCCACTAATTGCGTGGCTTGTGGAGCTTTGTGTGTGGGTAATCCATCATTATCATTACACGCAGCTGGTGTGGCTTTGACTGCTTCGGAAGGGAATGATATATCTTGATTGATGACAGAGGGGGGCAGATTCCTGGGCCCTATGTTACAGTAATCCCTTGGAACGTCCCTTTCCACAGCATTGTATGGATTGAGAGGCCGATTCGTGAATGACAGCTGGGCAACAACACCTATGATAATAATGAGTACGATATATCCTATTTCCCCATAAGTCTCGGGAACAGACCAGTTATTTTGCTAAGAGCTCTTTCCTCTTCTTTTCGAAGCTGGAGTATCTTATCGACAACTCCAAGGTGTTTGTCTCTAATCTGCGACCTCACGGGCGACAAAACAATATTGAATTGGTCCACTGTCAGTCTCGGATCAAGGTGACACGCGAAGTTCACCAGCATCATAACGACCTCTAGCTTGATTCAGTTTGGGCTTAAAAGAGTAGGGTTGCGAGATCATACGCTTCTTCCGCAGGTCAGATGGCTTCCGATGGACGACGCCGTCAGGCCACCACGGCGGTTTGGTTGATTCCGGATTTGCTCCATTGTATGGAAAGTAATATGATTTGCGAGGCTCGATATACTTGATCAAGGCACGGAGAATGCTTTTGCTACTTTCCGCATCGATCTGCCTAAACGCGTTGGTGTACTGTTGGGCTGACTCGATGTCGTGATTGGAAGTCGAGTTTCGTTTCGTCCAACCCTTAGCATAAGTTTTCTGAGCCCTACTGGACACTGTCAATGAGGTATTTTCTGAGCTGCATGATACTTCATGTGTTTCCCCAACTAGATCTCCGATGCTATGATCTTTTTTGAAGGGCGGTATAGAAGCTGCTTCGACATTGGTTGTTGGTATTCCGCCTAGAGATGTACGAGATTGCTCTAGACTATGGTCAGAGAAGCATATCCTCTGAATTGCTTTGGAGACACTAACGCCGAATATGGTCAAGCCATCCCTCTTCTCGGGCTCCGAAAATGTCTTGTATGATCTTCTGGTTTGTTTCTGAATCTCTAATGCTTGGAATCCGCTGAGTTAGTTTCATCAGGGTCCGTGCAGATGAGTCCTTGTCGCGTGCAGCATGAAGTATACTAGAAAGAAAATTGATTTGAGCTGCTAGTGATTAGCATCAGATAAAGCTCCTAATGAGTTCCCTTACCTTCTTTGCCCATTTTTTCGAAGCTGCGAAGTGTAAAACCTGCTCCTCGCCCCCAGATAATGCTTTTTTTATCAGCAGCCCCCGAGGGCTTGAGCAACCTCAACCAAGATACAAGAATATGTAAAACTGTCTTCGGTTGGAGCTCTTGAAATCGGCGGGCATAATATGATTGCAAATGTGCAGCGATCGGGGTATAAAATGACTCCTTATCCAGTGTTCTTGCACGGCCTAGTGCTAACCATCAGCTAATGGAAACATTCCTGTTGGGTTCTCCTGGGTCCTTACCGTTGGTCGAAATTTGACTCTTCATGGCAGGAGAGTGAGAATCATTTGCGGGATCTCGAAACGAAGTTACTGAAGCACCACCAACTGGTGGCTGTATATGTCGGATTTCAGCAAGTGTTGTTATGTTTGAAGCAGAATTTGTGTTCAGTTGGACGTCGTGAAAATTGTAATGTTGGCTCATCTTCGGCACAGAGGTCAAAACAATGACACTTGTGCAACGGATTTAATTGCAACAACCGACAACATATCCTGGGCTGGATCGCCGAGATGCAGGCATTATATATACTGAGGTGTAATGTGGAGCTTCTAATGGCTAGAATACTACCATGCATGTCAGCCGCTGCAGCCGAGATATGCGTGTCTAGACTGCTAGATATCCACATTCGATGGCCACCTCTGAGTCTGAACGGAGAGATTTAAGTTTGGCCCACTATGCTAGAAGTATCGAGGAAGTCACTAACCCCACGTCAAACTTTATTCAGGGAAAAATCCAGTGCATTCGCATTTACCAGTTCGATTATACAGTGGAGGTTAAAAGGGGCAGCGGGACGGAGGACAGATGGGCTTTCTAGGAAACCCAAACATCAACCAGGATGGAGATCCTCACACTATTATCCCGGATCTAGTTCCGTTTTCGCCAGTAAAGGCCAAAGCGAATGTGCATTTCGCACTAATAAACAGTACCCTCCCTCCAAACACTAGTGATTCGTAGGCTGGAAAGGAGAGATCATCTCGGAACATGATGGATGGTCAAAAAGTGGCAGCGATGGTCTAGAGAACTAATTCCCTGGCGGATATAAGTGACATGACTAACTTGCGAATATGATAGCGAGGAACTGGAAGAATATCTAAACTATACCGGATATGGCATGACGCTGCTTCAAGTTCCCCCTCGGTTGTAGCTCGCGAGGTTCTAGCCCAATCCTGTTTTAGTGCATTGCATGATTATTTGGAATAAATCTCTAGTAAACATAGCGCCTTTGTGCTTGTTGCTTGCACGCGACCGACTGACAAGTTGCTGCTAGTTATAGGAATAATCTAGGCTCACGTATGAATCCCACATAGTAAGATGGTATTAAAATATACATACATATTGGCGCTCAGAAGTATAAGCAGACTACGGAGATTATTTGCAATAAAACTAGCAATCTAGAAATAACCCATGTTTGGGTATTTCACGCCAAAAAATCAGAAGCATCCGAAGAAGTTTTTCCAAGCACGAAGCACCTGCTGATTGTCGTAGCGAGGTATTTGACCATAGACAACACGCCTACAGAAAGAAGAGTTTGTCAGCGAGATAACGAATAACTGGTACAATGGGGCCTCACCAATTCAGATATCCATCTGTGTGGCCGTTAACTATTGTCAGGTACACAGCGGAACACAATGCATGGACATATTCAGCACTATAACCAAGTTTTGCGGTCATCGGCTCCAAGCTGAACTCCACTAAACTTTCAGCCCATATCTGTACAACCTTTTTCGAAGTCATCGTGTGTCTGCTGTCTTCGAGGGACAGGGGGATTCGGTGATCGATTGTTTTAACAGAGCTGAAACCTTTTTCCTTCAATGTATTTTCGTATTCCAGGGGTAGGTCAAGGTCGTAGCCATAGTGACTGAGAGCATCTTTCATGTCTTTACACCACTGACGGACTGGACAATTTTGATCAGTTTGGAACTCCACAATCCAGTCCACAAACTCTGCCCATGCTCCAGGTTTACCGCATCTAGTGGATCAGTGTCAGAATTTCTCTAAGAATCTTGATGGACAGGCAGACCTAGCTATCCCATTCACAACATTGCCCAAGTTTTGAATGCGATGTCCCATTCTCCCAATATGGGCAAAATCGACATCTTGATACATGGTATGCCAATCAGAATACTTGCTGACATTATCAATATCAATTTCAAGATTTAAGGGAACTCTGAATCTTGTCAGTATATCATGCGAGGGAGTCCAGATAATTTGCCGTACAAGTTTGTTTGAAGGACAACCGAATCAATAGCATGTACCTGGCGGGTATCAGATTATGTCAACCAATGTATACTTGGTGCCCAATAGCTTACTCTCACTGATGTTAATTCATCGGCTATCACTATCAGCAATGAAAATAGATACTCTTTTAAGGAGATACTGACCAAAGTGAAATGCCCAACATCCAGTACCTGTACCAATATCAAGAACTAGTCCTAGTTGACTGGTGATTGGAGCATGCCACAGGCTTCCACCAAAGTAAGCAATCAGTACGTCATGTACATGTTCTGCATTCGGTTAGCTTGAAGCATTCTGTAGTACATTTTGCTACTAACGCTGTCTCTCCCGCGCTTCTGAGTCAATTGGCCAGGGATATTGGTCTTCATATAATTCCAGATCATACAACCTTCCATTTTTTGATATGGTTACAGAAGGTTCTGTTCTAGCACAAAAGTTAGCCTAATTATCAGAAGAAGTATAATGGCCGACTTTGGATATTCTTACAGCTCCTGGTCCTGTAGGTCCTCGGGGAAATCGGGCGGAGGCGTCGGCGGAGGTGTAAGCGGAGGGACAATAAAAATGCCCATAGCATATAAGTCATCCATGATGGGGAGATGTGTATTGGCCGAGGTTTTGCGTAAGGAATTCTGGGAAGCCATCAAGGGGTGGAACGCAAGAGCACATTCACGAAGACGGACGCACACATTAGAAATACTGGGGAAAGGTACACATCTTATATGTAAGCTGTGATCTAAGGGGTGACATACAGCGCCCTAATCCGTAATAGATCAACCACCAGTAATACGAAAATAATTATATCGCGATTAATTATTTTCTTTTGCGCAAAAGTACCTGTAACAAGAATATCTAAACTATACCAAAGACAGATTAGGTTTACAACTAGCCGCCAATCACAATTGAGCTGGCTGTGACTCTGTACCAAGTTTGGCTTTCCCCGATTCACCGAGGACTCGCCCGGACTATCTAATGACCGAGGGAGAAAGTAGCAGACCTGATATCTTTCAAGTCGGCCACCCTTCAAGCTGTATTAATCCCACCGTTCTTCATGTCAGCCCAACCCAAGTCTCGGAAGCCATACACTGCCGAGGACATTCTTGACTGCGCACGGAGCAGGTTAGTTGAAGTCAGGGGCTTTTACCGTTATGATCAAAGTGAATTGGTCTTCCAAATAAGCCAAGCTGCAAAGCAGGACCTGAGAAAAGAACGGAGCAAAGGAAGAAAAGGCAAGACACCTCAGTTAGATGTTTTGTTTGGTCGTCTACTTGATTATCAACACGTCACTGGAAAACATGACCAGTTGGTGGGCGATTGTGCAATCACACAAAAACTACAGATGGATACCCATAGCCGTCCCAGGAACCACGGACTGCGCGCCCACAGTTTTCGCAGCCATGGCATTTCCAATACGAATGATATCCGGAACCGGTCCCAATGTAGCAAGCTCCTTCACAGGCTGGAGCTAGAATTGGGAGTGAAAGGAATTTCGATGGCTCTCCTTCCCGCACTCCCAAAGCTCCCGCGATTATATGACAAAGAGGTATCTCGAATGATAGGTTTGCTACGACGTGGCTCTTATGCAGAGGTCATGGTCGCCGCTTGGGATTTTAATAAGCAACTCGCTAAAGACCAGGACCTCTACAATACTTTGATGGTTTGATAACATAGGTTTGCATGCCTGTCTTTCTGGCCTTGTTGATACTTAGGTGTTGATATATCTAACAGGTGACATACATTTTAGAGCCGCTGGCTCCAGAGAAAGAGATATGTATTAAATCATTCATCAGACACACTGAAATAAAAGCTGCTCATTTTCCATATGGATGAAAGACCATAAGAGGTAGAGCATCAGGAGAGCAGACATTGTGACCCATCGGTTCCCTTGAGAATCCCCACCAAACCATCAGAACTTCTCCATTTGGGGGAATTTCAATACGGGCTGGACCAGGAACTATAAACAATTCAGAATTTTCTAGCTTTGGTGTATATTTGCCGATGCTGGTGTCAGGGTAGATCGTGATGGATCCAGAGCCTCTCACCACCCCGAAAACTGAAACTCCATCAGTACCCGAAGGGTGGGCCAGCTTGGAAGAGAATTGCCCTCCAACAGACTTAAAAATCTTTGGCCGTTGCGGTGTCAAATTTCGAAATTCCACTCCGAGTGACCGTGAGATCATTCCTTCAATCTGCACCGACGTTAGTCACAGTATGGATTCAGATAAGAATGCACGGTACCTCAGGAGCCCGGGATCTCAGGAAGGCTTCACATTCATCACCTCCGAGGCAGTGCAATGTCGGTGGATCACAGTATTTCTTCTGTTGTTCAAAGGTCTTCTCCACAGCTGCCGCATCCTCTTCTGGTGGAGAGCCTTGACGATAGTATCGTTCGTGACCAAGAGTTTCCATTGACCATATTTCGTCGCCGTGAGGTTCGAAAATTGGGTGCTCGGCGGGGTTTGGTGTTGCACTCATTTTGAAATGCATCGATGACTAAGCGAGATTTGTCCGATAGGCACTGGCCACTCAGGGTGTTATGTATATGGAAGGAAATCTTTGAGTAGGAGGCTACGAAAAACCAACTATCTGGGCCCGGCTTTTATTTTATACCATTAAATGTCCATCACATTTCTTCAACTTTTTAAATACATGGAGTTGTCCTAAACTCGGCGCAATATGGCACATATGGCAAGTACTGCAGATCAACCTCGATTCATGGACATACAAGATGCATGAATCACCTCCTCTAGCGTCTTAACCGACTTTAGATACACTTCCAATGTTACATGTCATCTGTTCTGACAGGGCCACCGTGCTAATCTCTGCTAGGCTTTGTTTCCCCTGCTCTCACAAATATCGCATTTTTGACATGGTTGCCGAAGATTTTGATTTTTATCCTGTGTGCCTTTGCAGTCTGGTTTATAACACTTAACAAATCCATCAAATACTTTCTTGCCGCCACAGGAAAGGTAGGTGTAATATTGATTCCAGCACATGGCTGTGCGATTCTTCTGGCTAATGTTAATGACCAAGCGCCTGTCACTTCCGAAATGATTATTGGTTACGTACTCTGGACAGTAGTGGATGGCTTGGATTGAGAGTCTTCGGCGCACGGATGGATGTGTGCTGGGTTAATTGATTGGTATGTCTGGATGGCTGGATGGCTGGAGCCGTGCTAAGTGACTCTATTTATATGTTATCTTACACCCCGAAGTCCAACATCTGCCAAGGGTGGTCCAGATTTTCTCGAGGTGACACAGAAGTGCGTTATATTCATGCATTACTAGCATAGTTGTATGTACAGCTTCGATCGCGTATGACCCATACATTGGCGAGAGCGCAGCGCTGATAGCCGCAGATAATCTGTTGGCTAGTAGATTTTCTACACTCAATCAAACACGCTCACTGGCTCAGACAGGCCACGGGTAGAGATCCGTCTACGCTCCGCCCTTGCCTGTTCTCGAAGTCTATCCAACTCATCCTCGCAGAACCTCCTATCCCGCACTGACTGGGCTATCTGCTCCAGTTTGGCACAGTTCCAGCCAGCTCTCACAACTGCAGCCGTTGCTATAGGCCCAATTGACTTGTATTCGTTCCAATTGAGGCGATTTTGGTAACCATTATCAAAATAGGTCACCACCAGATCGTCCGGCGAGCGCTCTGCATTTGCGAAGATCATAATCTAACGTATCATTAAACCAACTGCCGCACAGTGTATGTACGTTACTCACCTCAGCCTTCTGGCCGTCGCCCATAGCTGATTTCAGCCATTTCCAAATGTCATTCCAAAGTGGTATTACGCTGGCGAGACAGTGCATCACTATTCCACGATTAGTTAAAACCTGTCATGAAGCAGAAACAATCTAACCTAAGGGTGAATAGAGTATCCTAATCAGAAGTGGTCGATTGGGATGCATGGATTCCTTTCAATTTATATTTATCTCTTCTACCGTCAAACAACCAATTTGACATCAAGGTAGCATATAGAACCCGGTATTTTATGGTTCTGGCTGCGGGAATTGCCCTACGCTTCAAGTCGACTCTTTCTGGACAAGTTTTTACTTCCCCTCCTGCCGGTCCATTTCGTGGGGTGGATAACGCGCAACACTCGGACAGTTTCTATCTAACCTTTGGGCACGAGATATTGCCAACGTCAGATGAACCACTCTGGTTGGCACAAAGTAATTGCATTGAGCTGCATGGAACCGTGCTGCAGGATGCAGATGAAGACATCAATTTGTTGAAACCAATGTAGATCCAATACGGAAATACGTTATTCCATATGCAACTAATGTTGGTTTATCATGGGCATCCCATCCAAATGGGAAGCCCACAGGGAAGCCCACAAGGGAAGCCCACAAGGGAAGCCCACAAGGGAAGCCCACCAGGATAAGAAATTTTCCTCACAGGAGGATGCTCGACGGTCGGTCGCCTTCTGCATAGTATGAGAACAACCCGGGCTGTCTTTTCCCATACTAGATTTGGCAAGACTCAAGTAGCTGATGACTCTCTCTGAACTTTGTCAAAACACAGCGGCCACAAATGATGATATGGGTAACTTGGAACTTTCGCCTCTTTCCGCTTACCCAATCAGGTTAACTTGGTAATGTTAACTAGCTAGTGCACTGGCTAAATCGTTGATGGTCACGTGTTAACATCTTACCAAAATCTTTCGTGCAACAGTTCTATCTAATCGATAAGAGCAATAAATATATCATAGTCTATAAACTTTTTGGAATTAATTGTTATAATTTATATATTTTTTAAATACATATGAAGATTGTGAAATAGATTCTTGGTGTGGAAGGTTACGTCGCTGCCCGACAATTGGGCTAAGCGGATGGCGGGGTAGCAAATCTTCACCTGTGGCCGACCTTAGAACTTTCAACAATCAACATATTTGAACGATGTCTCCGGATGCTAACGATATCGACATCAAACTCAAAACATCCGGAGTTGCACTTGCTGGGACAATAGATTTAAATCTCATACGAAATCTTCAAAGTCATCTCGAGCCGCAAAATATTACCCGTCGTATCACTCGCCAAACGCATCTCCAGTGGAATGGTGATTGTGATGCCATTGAAGCTCACTTTGAATCAGTAAGTTATGTCTTTCATGTCCATATGTCCATGGTACAGAGACTAATCTCCAAAGAAAATAAAGCCGCAGATCCAGACGCTATCGAGTAGGACATGTTCAAATCGCTGGCTCGTTCACTTTCACGATTTCCCAGAACGTTCCAACATATACAAACCAAACGTCAGAGCCGGAAAATACACGGTATTAATTGTCGTTAAAATGGGTCCAGGGTTTCCTCTTTTATGTGAAGGTACTCATTTGACCGAGGGTGCTGGGATATCGCCTGTGACGTCTATAATGGATATTCCCCAGGAGGAAGGCTCGGTGGTGATTTTCGACGCTAGCATTGCTCGCCAGGACCCTATGGTCAAGGGCCCTGGAGGATCGTGCATATTATTGGCATACTGAGTTTTATTTATTCTATACTGAAAAGGCAATGTAAGAATACAGATGTTCCAGTTGCATCAGCTAGTATGTGTTCTAGTTCTCCCTTTTCCTGTATCTTTGGGTTTCTCTCTTCGCCATTTTCTTTTTTCTAAGTCAAACATTCGCATGAAATTCATCCCACAGATTATCGAAATTATTTGCCGCGAACACGCTGAAGGGGAAATCTTCAGATGGAAATGCCCTGTGAACGCCTTCTGTCATGTTTTGGTGAGAGTGATTTTGCTCTAAAATGGTCTCAGGGGCTGAAAATAGAAGGTCCCAGTCGAATATGCCAGTGGGCCTAATGTTTGCTGGCGCAGGAGAGCCTTGTGGCTCTTGCGGCTCGAAAAGTCCGCTCGAGGAATGGTTTCTTGGCTTGTTTGAAGCTTGAGGGTGTCCAAAATCTTGGGTGGAATGCGTGGTTTGGAAAATATCACTATTATAGTGATGACGTAAGGGTGGATTATCGACTTTTTCTGGCACAGACTTTTGGTTAAGATGTTCCCCGACTGTTGAATCTCCACTCCCCCGATGATTTTCCGCAAAAGATGCTGATAATGTTGGGGAATAACTTCTAGCACTAACCACTATTCCGGCTAAGCATAAATCAGGCAGAAGGGCGACACAAGTAAGGGTTGTATGTACCTTTGTCATTATTTGGACCATGGACTCCACAACTGCTCAATCTAGCCTCCACACTTGATGTTTCCCATTGAGTGTCCTGCAGCGAAGCCTTGCGCCTTTTTTTCCTGGATTTTTCTTGCCGTCCATCGTGTTCTGCAAAAGCGTTAGGTCATCGCCGCTTAAGCCTCGTAAATTAGGTGTCCAACCCGTAGAAGCTTTCCTCTTTTGCTCATCTCTTTTCAGATGGTCCAGCGTGAGATCACTGACTTGCTTTTTCAGACTAATAGCCTGTTTATGGGTCGACTTGGCGCAGTTCGTTAGGTGTCTCTCAAAACGATCAACGCGACCGAAAAGAATCCCACAACCACATTATACATCGCAAGGAACATCTATAAAAAAATGAGGAAATTGTTGTCAATAGATCAAATGGCTGAATAAAGGAATAACTGACGTGACTTATAATGACGGATCAAGTGATTTCTTTTACTAAATGGAGGCTTCTCGATGCAGTCAGAACTAGGACACCGCAAACCTAGCTCGGATTCATTGGATTTATGCGGTGAATGCCTTGGAATGATTTCCGGGCTTTTGTAATTTAGATGTGGTTGCATTTTCTGGTCTCTTGAAGGGTAAGTACCCCCACAATTTGGTGTGCTGCAAAGTAGCTTGCTGAGTTGGCTGAGAAGTGTGAGGATATGATGCTGAAGAGATGAGCGATTCGAAGTAACTACGGGACGGTAAACATACTTTGTTGGGTTGCAGATGAAGTTGAATATCTTCTCGTGTTGCAAATGTTAAAGAACAATAGGGACACGGCCATTGGGTAACTGTTTGCTCCATGATGAGAATTCCAAGTGGTTGGTGAGGTTGGGTGTTCTACTGAAGGTAGAAGAGAAAAGTAACGAGTACAATCGAGGTCGTAAGGATGGGATTGTCACTTGCTTATTAGGTCGGGGGCAACAGGATCAGCTCGCTGAGATGGCTCAGCGGGGAAGCGGAACGGTGCCATTGTGCGGGTTTTAATTGGTTAATCTTTGTGATACTATCATATGACAATACATAACTAGTGTTGAATGTAATTATTAAACGGGAAAATCGATCTTCACTAACCCGTCGCCCTAAGTCAAAATGTATTGTGTGCAACAAAAGCAAGAAGCATGAATGCAATAAAGTAGAGACTGGTGTTATCACTATACCCCATTGCATTACCAAATACATGAATCCCATACTGACAGAGGAGCGATCAACATGTGCCATCTCGGAAGATGCCTTGGAGCCTCCAGTAAGCTTTCCTAATCCGAACACCACAAATTCACACATTTAACTGCACCCAACTTGGCATTTAACGATCAATGACCTTTATTTTTTGCACTTGCTTCCAAAGCATCAAACACCTTATTCACGGTCGAGTCATCGATGGGGTCTTCAGTGTCGACCCAAGCTTCAGCAAGGTTCTGGTGGCTATTCTTGTTGGCCAAGTCTTTGACTGTGCGGTTGTCCGCATTCTTATTCGGCTGGAGGTATATCATGACACGGTTGTCGACTTGCATGCCCCTGTCAATGCGTACTCCGATTGAGTTGTCATGTTTCGTGGCTGGTATAACTCGGCGGCCAGCGGCCGAGTTATCTCCAACTGCGGGTCGTAGGAGCTTTTGCCTCGTTGATGATACTTCCAGGGCTCTCTTGCGAAGAGATCGCAGTGCATCCATTACAGCACCCATCTTTGTGGACTTCGAGGCGATTTTCTATTTTAATCAGCTTGTCCTTGGACGGAAGATGTGTAACTAACCAGTGCGAGACTTCTTAAATCCGGGACGTTCGAAGTTGAGGGCCGTGCTAACAGGATGGCAAAGGAAATTGATGTTTGGATGATGTTCGCCGAATGTTTAAGTAGTCAATTACTTTGCCTTGCTGGATTCACTGGGAGGTATTGAAAAAGAACTGACGCCGTTCTTTCCCTTTACAGAAGCGCCAGAGATTGCGCCAGCCGTATATTCCATGCAAGAAATGGATTGACCTTGTGTCTGATGCTGTATGGGCCACTCAATTTGTGCACCTTGCGCAATCAATGGCGCCTATACGAGAATGTAGGGTTTCCCATTGAGCCGTGTTCCAATACTCCCGAGGGTCTCCCAAAATATCAACGAGGGTCTCCCAAAACGCCCAAGAGGCTGAAGCGCCTTGAGGTGGGTCTCCCGAAGAGGGGTCTCCCAAATGTCATCGAAGGTCTCCCAAAACGCCCAAGAGGCTGAAGCGCCTTGAGGTGGGTCTCCCGAAGAGGGGTCTCCCAAATGTCATCGAGGGTCTCCCAAAACGCCCAAGAGGCTGAAGCGCCTTGAGGTGGGTCTCCCGAAGAGGGGTCTCCCAAATGTCATCGAGGGTCTCCCAAAACGCCCAAGAGGCTGAAGCGCCTTAAGGTGGGTCTCTCGAGTTGGCCAAAAGATGGTCTCAAAAAGTTTTGTCAGTTTTCCAAGGAAAGTTGTAAGTAAGAGTTATCGGATGAACAACACTCGTGTCAGAATTCGATTACTAATATTAGAATGGGCGCTAAAGTGTACCTGGCATCATGTGATCAAACCCATTAATATAACCTCCAACTGGTTTTTCCCTTCGCATTTTGAAAACCTCATGATGCAAGGGCCACGCAAAGCTTTCAAGCTGTTCAGTGGACATCTCAGATTATCTATGGCTTTCAGAGGAGATCAGCGATTACTTCAGGCCCGGCCTCGCTGTACGAATCACCGACAGACCGAAACAACCAACAATTTTTTCCGCTACACCTCTGGTCGTTGGCTATACAATGAACACCTACAATTCGAACGACGGTTTGTCAAATTCGACGTCCAAGCCCTTCAGCAGGTTGCCAGTAGAGTACTTGGTGCTCAGTGTGTCCAGATGACCAAACTGCCTGAGGGGCTATACAACAAGGTGTTTTCTTTGAAAATGGAAAATGGCGAGGAGGTCTTGGCGAGAATTCCGAATCCAAATGCTGGCCATCCTCAATATTGCGTGGCCAGTGAAGTCGCCACGCTTGATTTTGTGAGTGCAATCCAGTATCTGCAACTTATATGCTGGGTTGGCTAATCGCGATCAATGACACTCAAGCTTCGCAACATCCTAGGTATTCCTGTTCCCAGAGTTCTGGCCTGGAGCTCTCCCTCGTTGCATCCGAACCCTGTGGGTACCGAGTATATGCTCATGGAGCGGGTGAACGGATACCAATTGAGCGAAGTTTGGGATACCATGTCTGAAGCTCAACGCTTTGGTCTGGTTAAAAGCCTCGTGGAGATCGAGACGAAATTGGCAAAAATGGAGTTTACAAAACACGGCAGCCTATACTACAAGGACACATACCCGCGTGGCGGGAATATCGTTGATCCAGGTGAATTGCCTAGCTCGAAACAAGGGGCTACGGCGAAATTCGTAATGGGACCAACAACTGAGCGATCATTTTGGGAAAACGAAAAGCGAGAACTAGATACTGATCGGGGCCCATGTAAGTGCATCTGATTATGCTTACTAAGCTCTATTTCTTGTTTGTTTGACTATTAACCTTATTTTAAAGGGGAAACTGCCCAGCAATACCTTTCAGCCGTCGTAAAACGTGAGATTGCCTTGATCCGAAATGGCCCTAAGAATCCTGAAGATGTCTCGTCCCTTTCAGCAAAGACAAGAACAGCATGTGAAAATCATGTTCGGCTTCTCGAACAGTTCCAATCTGTGCTCCCTTGCATATTACCACCGAAAGAATTTTCTCGTCCTGTACTGTTGCATCACGACCTCCATTCAGATAATATATTTGTGGACAGCAATGATCCAACAAAGATATCAAGCATAATTGACTGGCAGGCAGTATACTCCTCTCCGCTCTTCATGCAGGCAAGATTTCCCTCGATTTTTAATTGCGATGACCCGTATCCATGGGGTGCTGTTCAACCTGAATTACCAGAAGATTTCGATACCTTTTCACAACCAGAAAAAGACTTGGCCAGAGATAAACTTGACAGGGTTAGACTGAAGAAATTCTACGAATTGGCATCGAGGAAGTTTAATCCGCTTCTTGTGAAGGCCATGGATGCCATGAGGAATGACGATGACCCTGCAACTTTCATATTCCATATCGTCGGACAGTCTTCCCTAGATGGCCCGATTCCACTCAAAGAACTTCTTATACAGATATATGAAAAGTGGGACCAAGTAGCGGAGAGGAGAGACTTGATGATACCATGCCCAATTTCATTTTCGAAAGAAGAAATCGTTGAAAGCCGTAAACAGGTGGCTGCATGGGCGGACGCATATGCGGAGTTTGACAGCCTGCGAACGCAAGTGATGGGTAAGGATGGTTGGGTCTCACATGAGGAATATAAGGAGGCCATTAGCAGGTGGGAAGACCACAGAGCTACTTTTGAAATACTCCGAGAGCGATTAGAAAAGTTACTCTCGTAAGCTTACTCCCAATCTTCACGGCTCTCTGTGCGACGGGGGGAAATAGATGAAGGGAGATGATTGACTACATGGGAAAAATAAATGACGGGGGAATAGTCCTCTTATACCCAATTTGATCATAAGGCACCTGTACGGAGTATCCGCGTTGGTTTCACTAGCATTAAATTAAATTTTGTCAAAGCCGAGACTATCTCGAATCATTGACCAACATGTGGTCCAAATCCTGGCGACTTTGGCCTAGAGAGCTTCATAATCGAGGTTGGCCAACATCCTGGGAGCGACATCCTGAATGATAGCCTGGTGATTACTTCGCCTCGCTATTTTGGGAGGTATGCTATTAGATACGCAAGTGTGTCTTTGACTGGTTTTCATTATGCGCAATCCATCTCATCACGCGTCGAATGCTAGCAAGGTCCATAGTCAAATGCATTATGAAACACCCGAAAAGTTGGCAAAAATATCCACATAGAAAGGTCGAACTCAGGAGAATACCACATATCACGTAGTTACCATTCTTTCAAGCACTGGCAGAGCCCACCGTAGCATCCACTCAGACTCCATGACTTCCGCAGCAGTGAGCCTTTTATCAGGCATAAATGTTAACATGCCCCTCAACATATTGAGTATGGCAGTCTTCTCGGCTTGCCCAACGTCCTCTACCGCCTGTTCTTGTCGCGGCTGCTGCACAGAATCAACAAAACGGTCGGTCAGCGACCTACCCGCCCGTCCAGATGTTCTTTCCCCTTCCTCATTAAACCATCTCTGCCGCGCATCCCATTTTTGCCACCAGTCGTGAGGTAACTTGCCAAGTGTATCCACATGCTCTTTTATCATCCAGTCTTTGGACGGATTAAAACCCTCAAAAAGTGGCCGTTGTCCAATAATATCCCAGATTGTACATGCTAGTGTCCATATATCGGAGGAAAATGATACGGTTTCGCACGGTAAGAAATAAATCTCTGGAGGAACAAGGATATCTGGCGTATTGGAATACCGGCGTTGGGTCACAGTCGGTAAAAATGACTCTCCAAAGTCAGTGAGAAAAATCTTAGCTTCAGTGAGTGTTATAAGCTCGCTCTCTTTCCCGAGCCAGATGGGCACAACACCGTGGGTAGGAACTCCGTCGGGAAGTGGCTTGCCATCAAGGCGCACAATTGGCTCGATATTAGGCCGGCCGTACTTTTCATACAATTGTTCGGGGGAAAGTTCGTCCATACTGTTCGGTAAGCGAAGCATTATATTCCCTGTATGGAGGTCTGCGATGGATCTCGTTAATCACGACAAGTCCATTAAGTTTATTGAATTAAAACACTAATGCCAAATATACATACCGGCATGAACTATCCCTCGATGATGTAGGAAAGCGACGGCTTGAATAAATTGGGCGGTGATGGCTTTGGCTACTGGCAATTCAAAAAGTCTGCAATAAGATGCATCCTTAGCCTCAGCTAGGCTCATCATCCCCGGCTCTGTAACAAGACATCTGTGTCTTCCATTTGGCCCATCGACGAGGAACTTATCCAATACTTGAGGGATCAGAGCTTTTCCAGGGTGTCCGTCGTCGTTTAGGTCTGAGAGCGCTAGGGATCCTAGAATTTGCTCTCCTGCATATCTGCATCAGCGACGGCGATCTTGATGGCCACATATTTTTTTGTCTTCCTGTCTCTCGCCAACCAAGTTGTAGAGTATGCACCAAACCCAAGTTTATGTACAACATCATAGCGGTCACTAAGACGGTCGCCAATCACTATAGGATGATAACCTCCAGGATGATAACGCTCGGGTCTTTCTATGTCCTCAAGTGGCATATATTCGACAGGAGAACAGGTCTTGGACGGTCCGGAGGAAGCAAAAAATTCCATTCCACGGCGAGTAGCTCTACCAAACAGCGACGGAATTGGACGCAGGCTAGTAGGGTGTGACGATGTGGTGAATAGAGGCCATAGATCGAAAAAATACTGGCTTGCTTCGAATATTGAAGGAAAATTGCAAGCCTTTCCTCATGATAAGCAGCAGTGAGAGATCTTCCAAGGGTGAATCCACGACTCCTTTTTATCCTCCCAAGTTCTAAATTTAGCCGACAACGGAGTATGGTAATCCCGGTACGACCGCTTCTGGAATTGTGGTGTTTTGCACAACCAAGCAACGTCCATTGTCACAACATCTTCTCGTACAGGCTGGCAACACGGTATAAATGGCAGTCTTATTCATGTAATCCACTCCTTGGAGCCTAAGGAGCCGTTACCTTAGCCATCACGTGATATGGTATACGGGAACCATATCTTGGCAGACATACCATTCGAGGTACCACGGCACGATGCTATGGTCCTATATACTCGACCCAGAGGATGTATCGCCTCAGAATGCCAGGACTGCTTCGTCCATCCCGGCCGAACAGGCAAAGGAACCCGACGCAGCTTGATAGTACGCTCCCAGGTCGCCTGGAATTCCATGGGACCAGCGACAGCATGTACAATCCCATTGGTGCCATGTGCTACATGGGCCAAGAGTCGATCAACCACTACATCCACAGGGACATAGTCAATACTCGATTGGCGGTATGGATCCTCAAAGCGAGACGAGAAGCATATGGTTCGTGATAGGGTGAGGGCAAGGCCCGCCGAGAAAATGATATGTGGAGTCGACATTGGGATGCAGAATTTTCGGTATGGGAAACATTGAGCAGGTTCAATTATGGATGGACGCACGATCATTAGCCGCTTTTTGGTTGGAGTAAAGAGACGGTCCAGTAATCGTTCTGTCAGGTGTTTGGCATAGGCGTAGGCCCAGGGAAAATTATGGGAACGATAGGCGGAAGACGAGTTGTTGGTGAGCACATCCTGCAGCTCCTGATCCAAATCTGCCCCATGAGAGAGTGGGTACGATGCCTCTTGGACCTCTAAGCCTGAAGTTCCATTCATTTCTGCATACAGATAAGCGTTGCAATAGGCTGTTGAGACAAACACAAAGCATTCAAGCCGCTCGCAGTCCAAGGCTAGACGTGCCAAGCGCTCTGTGGCAACAACGACTGGGCCAGTAATTTTCTCCAGTGGCTTTAGGAGTGCAATGGACGAAGCTGAATGGAAAATGATGTCTGCCTGACCCAGCACCGCCACTTGGTCCGACGTAAGCCCCATGTCTGGAAGAAGCATATCGCCGTCCATGGCAGTAAGTAGCTGAGGATCGGCCATCTTCTCCACAATCTCAGCTGAAAGCCACTTGCTCCATTTTTCAATCAACTTCCTGTTTGTTTGGCAGAACAGTGCTCGAATTAGTTCCCATAGTGCCCAATCGTCAAGGAGACACCACTTACGGTAAACCGCCCGTGCAAAGAACATATAGGTGGGAAACAGCAGCTCGTGTGAGAATGCGGTAAACCAGAGTAGTTCCAACGAATCCTGACCCTCCGGTGACAAACACCACTTTACCGGTATAGTAATCCCAAATCATTTTGCAGCAAAACGTATTTAAAGAAGATAATTAACAGAGCAAGGTGTCAGTGACTATGTTCTATGAGACTCTTGCAAAACATGGCTGTATAAATGGCTCCCAAATCTCAGCTTGCAAATCTCTTGTCGGGGATGACCGATCGATCTTTAGCTGAGTATACGCTATCTACTGCAAGATAAAGTCGGTGTGACAAGATCACATAAGTGCGTCCCCAACACGGCACACCGAGTTATGCAGGCATTTGATAGTACCGAGACGGCATGCGTAGGATCCGTGACAACTCTCAGCCTGTATCTCACGAATAACCTGGCCCATGGGGTCGGGACTGCCTTCTTGCGTTCCCAACTGCCGCCGATAGTGAAAGTACCAGCACGTCAGCGCCATACCAATCCGGGACGTACACTCGTTTGTTTTGTGCCAGTGGCCCGCTGCGAAAACCCCGGCCAGACCGCGCTGAAATGGTCTGCTTGGGGCATCTTTCATCGCCCGAAGGTGTGTTAGCTGCTTTTTGATCCCCAGGAAGACGGCGGCAGACGCGATATTGAACGCGAGCTGCATGAGGTGGTCCGCGCGTTCGAGTCCCATGGGCTGGCCCCGCAACGTGACCTGGGCGAGCTGCTCCCACACGGCGACAAGGTTGGTCGGGCCCTCCGGGCCAAGCTGCACATAGGACCACCGTTGTCTCGCATAGTAAAGCGGAGACGTCCACCGCGTGCAAGCAATGCTTGATGTGCGCGCAGGAGATTGCTCTGGATGACAAGCAGCAGTTGCTTGTCTTGCAAGGCTGGTACACACAGTCCTATTTTGGCCTCCCGCCGGTGGGCAAGCATCATCTGGGAATGGTGGCAGAGCAGGAAAGCTGGCGCGAATGGCATTTGGCATGTCCGGAGGCAGCTCCCAGTCATTGGCCAGTTGCTCCAAGTCAATATCCTCGGCAGGACCAGAGCTTGTATGGAATGGCTGCATGGATGGGGGTGGTAGGTGTGGGTATTCAGGTAATGCGGGAAAGGGGGCCGCTGCTGGGGAACTCTGGTGACACGGTTGATTGACCTGACCACTTCCCCTGGGCAGATGGTGTTGGTTAAACTCTCCCGCCGTGGCGCTACAGTCGCTCCTTGCTGGGACCCTGTGATCTATGTCTGGACCTGCCAACCCCACACCGGAAGATTCGTCGGGCTCCTGTGGCGCTGGTCCTGGTACAAGCCTGCTGTATTCATCGAGTATTCGGTCAATGTCACCCCCCGAGTGTTCTTCAAGTCCACAGTACTTGACAGTATTCGTTTCGGCAGTGGATCCTGCAGAATCGACCTGCCACTGAGGTGGGCCCGTTTCTCCTTCGCTAGGATCTGTGTAATCGATGCCACTGTCCTTATCCGGCTCTTCCTCTTCGCTGTCTTCGTTGTCTCCGCTCGCCATTGCATCATCGACCGTATCTTCGGGGTTTTGTCCATTGTCAATGGCCCCATTTGGTACGGTTTCATTGCCTACTGCCTTGCTCTCGAATGATTCTCCCATATCATGACTCTGATGAGCATCGAAGTCTAGCCCTGCCAGTGTGCTCACCTGACTAATTGTGTCATTGTCGTCCGGTTCCTGGCATGATTCCCTGGATTCGGTCGTCCGCTGCTGCTGCAGGGGCCGAGGGTTGTCGTCTACCAATCCCTGTTTCCGCTTGGCACTGGAGTGATTGGCCGGTGTGTATCCGAGTCGATCGCAGATAGTAGCGCGGTGGAGGCCGGTATCAATCGCGTGCACGTATTTCATTGGCGGGTATGACTCTGGCAGAGCCGGTGCTTCTGGCAAGAGCACCCGATACATGTCGCGCAGAAAAGATGACTGTCCCTGCCGTTAGTACTGCAGTCCGCATGTCTCATGGCTGTAAGGAGGGTCCCTCGAAAAGCCTTGGGTCTCTGCGGGAAAACATACAAACGCCTCGGACTTGCAATGATCACATCGGCGGTCAGTATCCCACTGGTGGCAAAGCTCAAGCACCAACGGCCTCTGCAGCAAGTCAAAACGGTTGAAATGGAAGGCATACTATCTGGTGAATTGGTCGGCCTTACTGCTATTTTCCAGTATGTCTTCGACTCACTGGCGAGCGCCATGGACAGAACAGAAGTGGGCAATGACTTGAAATAGTAACAGAAACAAAGGCTTCAGGGCTATAGGAAGTCGGATATGATGCGAGTGTCTGTGAGTTTTTGGCCGTTGACTGCTTGTGTCATCAGTTAAATAACATCACCGTAGTCTTCCTGCGGATGAAAACTTCATCCTTTCGAGGAATTATGCCGTCGAAAATGGCTCGTTCAGCCGGTAGAATTTGCTCGCCATCGTTTGTACGAACCGTTCAGTACCCCATTGTCTTCTCTTCAAACGATTCAACCACGACATGATCAACCGATCTGAGCGAGGCAAACCATGGTTCTTCAACTCATGTCCTGCCATCCATGATGATCTGAGCGCGAACATGCTCAGGACCAGAGAGCCAACCCTCTTGCCAGTCTAGGTCTTTCTTATGGTGTCACATCCAACCCATGGGACGCATCATAAACCCCTGGAGTCTGCGAGACTATCAAGGTTAGTATCCAGGGGTTAGTAGAAGGTCAGCGATCTCGCGAATCAATGGGGGAAAAGAATAATAAATGGTCTGATTCACCTTCTCTCTAAAGGTCTATGCGTTTCTGTCGGTAGCGTCTTGATTAACCATATACCCACTCTGGAGATTGTCAGGCGGGACTGGGTTCACAGGGCGGTTCTCCAGGACTCAGAAACAGCCAAAATGTATTGTTGTCCTTACTCCTCAGTATCCTACTGCCTACTGCCCAAGTAGCAGGACACTATATGTTGGCACTTTCCAGTCATCTCATCTTTTAACTCCAGGGCCATGTGAAAAGTCTACTCACTCCACACCTTCCTTGCCACTTGGCATGATACTAGATAGTGTTTGGGGGGCACATGGCGATCATGGTCCACAAATTAGCCCTTCTAATACAGACACTAAATGATTTCTCTATAGTTCACTGCTTACAGGGCAAAAGGTGTATGTGCATAGTGCATTATTGGTCTCGATGGTGCTTTGGCAAATGTTGAGATTGGTAATGTAAAATCCACAGGCCGATGGCAACACAAACCCTCGAAACTATTACTGTGAGAGGATCTTGATATTGATAATGCTGGGCATCCGAGATAGCAAGATGTCAGTACACTATAAAAGAATTTGGAAGGATCTGCAATCGATCCTATGATCCACGGTTCGTATTCAGCCTGGTCTCCGCCACTGAAGCCACTATAGACTATCGATTAAGGATCATGCAGACGTGAATCATCCCACATGGACATTAAGTTCAGAGAGCAATTTCCACAAGCAGACAAACTACGCTGGTTTTCGTGACCCACAATCTCCCGCGACGTTACATCAATCTTGATTCCAAATATCTCTTGGCAACGATGACGTACTAAGGACCACAGAAGCTTTGAGATTCCATTTCCGCATTTGACCTAGCGGGAGATCCAGCCCTCCCATGGATCAATGCCGCTACTGCTGAATGACATCCCCAATATAGCCAAACCGAATATAACCTTGATGATAATCTTTCGCTTCCGGGTCCGAATTAACAGACGTTCAGTCAGCCAGCCCGATGAATTGCGATTCATCAATAGACACCATAACAAGTATCCCGCTATAGACAAGCTGAAGGAAATGGGTTAGTTAATTTAGTGGCGATTAGCTCCACACGGTATTTACACTTAGAAAGGACTAAGGACAAGGTTGAGGGTTTTGGTACCGGCCGAGACGAAAGACGTCCCGCGGCCCCGAAAGCGAGATACGTCTCCGCTTTTCACTGTTTCAGAGTTCCCTTTTTGTTGGCTCTATGGCTGAAGGAAGTGCCTCTATGCGTTCGATATCAGGTACAGTAAGTGTTTTAACATGGATATCCCTGTCTTCTAACTGCGGTTCCTGTAATACACAAAGCCGCCGACGTGAATTCTCATCAGCCTGTCCATGGAAAGACCCATGGATCGGGATCGTAGGGTTCGTCATCCTCTAGTCACACTCACTTCACGAGTCCTCATTATGGCCATGTGACTTCTGAGATCCTGTTTTCCTTGGAGATCTCCATTTTTCGGCTTGTCAAATCCCAGCCATCGAGAATGAAATTGCTGTCGGGGGCCATCGCCCGAAGGAAACCTACGGCTAATGCGAGATTGTTCTTTTCGGTATGTAACGAAATTCTCTCCATAGTCTAGTGAGCGCAAGAGTCGAGCAGAAAACGACAGCAAGGCTGCATTCGTTGACGATTTAGAAAAGCGTGGAGGAGAGGAGAAGCTGGGGGCGGTTGCAACTGGCTCGGAACATGATATACTGGACGACGGCAACAGCGACTGCGCACAGCGCAAGCCCGAAGACCGCACAACTAGCAAAGATTTGTCGAAGCACAAGTTGTATTTTCAAAAACAGCGCTACGGGAAAGGATGAGAGACCTGAGAAGGTGTTCGGGCCATGACTCCGGAGTAGTGGGAAAATCACCATGCCTACTCCATATGAGATGACTGTGAATGCGACAATCGCCCAAAAGTGAATCCAGAGTCTCTGAACCATGATTTTCATTGGACGAACAGCCCGCCAGAAGCAGACCAGCGAACACGTTTTGACCGTGCACACGCAGGACCAGGAAATCAGGTTTGCTGCGTCTGTTGCACTGGAGAGTCTGGCGCTTTGCTTTGGTGTTTCGCTGAGCTGAATTGCGAGTGAGGACTCGCCGCTAAGCAACCCTAGCAGCTCGTACAATGGATCGACCTCCAGGGTCACGATAATTGCAAGGACCAAGAGAAAGACCAACGCAAGCAAGGTCAAGCCGTCTTCAACCCTGAGGCAACGGGAAAAAGCCAGCCGAAGGGCTATCTGGCCACTGCAAAGTAAAAATGCCACGCCAAACCCTGTCCATTCAAAGGCCTATGACGGATGCAATATGAGATGACAGGATACATAAAGCTCTGCCAAAGCTGCGCTCTCACAGAGTGGGGGAGCAGAAAAGGTGTAAGAAAAAAAGTACCTACATAGATAATAGTTTTGTCAACCCTTGCGGCACTTGATATAGTCCCGGCCCGAGAAATTATCGCCAGGGCTTCACGCTCTTGTTCTGTCGCTGTTTCCATATCGAAATATGCCAAAGTACGTGTCCGTGCCAAGTAGCAAGTTGAGGGAAAATTCAGTAGACATTCATCACTGCTGGTGGTTTTTAACAATATAATCGGGCATGAAGGTCAGACACATCCCACAATTGACAACCGACTGGCGGATCGATCCGTAAAGGACAAACTGGGCAAAGTTCTAGACTGTTCTTATCAGGTGCTGATGATATGAGCAATACTCTCGGTAGGCAGCAGGGCACATCTCTACGCCGGACAAACAGTGGTCGTGCAATGGATTAACCAACGGTGTTTGAATTTTGATGTCTTCTCGCCAGTTTTCCTGGCTATTCTTTCCTGGTTGTCGGCGACCATCCATGGGTTTGCTTCGTGGAGCCCGTTTCAAGACATGAGGGTGGGGCGGGATTTGCGGAGAACAATGGTGCTGTCTGCGAGTTATCCTGTAAAACCATTCCCAATATATTGTTCTGGAACACTGTCCTGTGGGTATCGGGGTTCCAAAGTTCGATGGATAGCCACCAAGGACATGTCTAGACTAGCCTCAGGGAGATGGGCAGTTGGTGTCAACTGGTACAGTGGTTTGTAGGAGTGTGCTATCGTTTTCGAGAATTCAAGAGGACACTGGTCTGTTTGATTAGCCGCTAGATCACGATCAAGGGCTACGTTGTTTGATCAAACCGGGTGGTGTTTTCTCTGGAATTTGTACGCTTCCTGACAGAAGGCTCTAGGCGCCGGTAATCGATCAATAACAGATGCAGGCAGGATTAAGAAGTGTGTATCCATACATGTAGACATAAATTGTGCCCTGCATACCTGCGCCGAGGGACAGACAACTTCCCGGTCACACAGTGCAGAAATTGAACGTGTCGTTCATCTAGTGTACTAATTCCGCTGTAGCTTCAACGCCAGCCGAACATTCCGGGAGATATATGTCAAATATCGCGCTGGGAGTCACTCAGCCATGGACAGGGCCAATCGGCCACCCACGCCGGACGAAACGGACTTTTGGCTTGCACGTCAGGGGGTGCGGGCTTCAGCCATCGAGCTCATTCCGTTTGACCTGCAATGGTCCAAAGGCAAGGCCGTGGACGCCGTCTATGAAGCCTCCTATCTGCGCGCTGAGAATGCGTATTTCCGCAAATTACGGAAGGCCGCATTTGCCTTCCAGGTCGAAGTTGAAGCTGCCCTGCTAGCGCATCAGGCTTTGCAGCAGCTTCAGCGAGGACTGCACAGCATCCGACGATGTGCGGTCGTTGAAGGTGGCCGATGCGGTCCACGGCGGGCGGGCGTGCTCGGATTCCAGCATGAAAATAGCATGTCCAGTCAGTACAAAACAATCGATGATCAGTGTTCCTTTGCCTTGCAACAACTTGAACAGAGCTATGAGCGTCTACAGCAATCATCGGCGAAATTTACGGCCGCATTAAGAAGAATCGCTCAGGAATACGCCGACTTTTTTCACGTGACACTTGATCCCAGTCAGCCTGCAGCCTTTTAACGGTCGCGGTTTAACAGGGGCAAGGGCTTTCGCGAATCTACACTATATGGCAGTGGCACCTGGATAATGACTGAGCTTCCTGTCCCCAGGAAACTGGACGCGTTATCAACCATAAGACATCTTCGAACACTATGTCGGTGAATGAAAGATCCTCGCACGGAAGACTACTCATAACCCTGATGTCTATGTACGCATCTAAATACGGCGTATCCAGCTTCATAATGCCTGAATAATAATTACCACATCCATATTCGTGTGACTGTAAATAGAGGGATTGTTTTCCTGATGTTATAAGATAGGACGCTCAAGGATAGTAGGCGTTAGGCGCAACTAGTGGGACTGGTGGGACCGGTCCTCCATGAAGATCCGTATCTAGAGCAACACTTGCACACATATAATTTTACAGAGAGGGTGTCTAAGTACAGATGGATCTATTGCTTTATCTTATCCTCAATGCGGCATCAAAGATTTCCTTGGCCATCAAATACGTCGACTCTATCTTCCCACACTATGGTATGCAATCTACGGAAACGCATCCGCGGAAGCCATCTAGGCCTTTATCTATTAACCAGGCCACACATTCCTGCCCTTTTTTGGGACCAAAAGCCTACCTGATGTCTTGGCAATATCCACGTATAACAGTCAAATGTTAGTGTACTGATTACAGTAGAAAGAGTCCATAAGAACCTTTTCCCAGAGGGTTAATAACTTTCCGCGATACAATCTTCCACTATAATAGTTTGTAGTACAGTTGATTTGGAGGTAGAGGCGGGAAAAAACCAAAAAAGAAAGCCAAAAAGGAAAAAGTAAACCCACAAAACTCGACTAGAAAGGCCTTTTTACTCAACGTACTTGGGGAAATTCCCCGCATTGTGCTTGGCGCCAATATTTTCGCTCCCCATATACCACCAATTTCTTCCCCAGCCATGGCAAAATGTCTTTTGGCTCCAGAAGACATAACAAGCCTGCGTCATAAACGGCATACCAGCAGTCACAGTTCGTAGCTACAATGGCGGTCATGAACTGGCGCTCGGCACGAAGTAGCGGCAACTGATAGATCGTCGGCGGCACGTCATAGTGATATACAACTGCTGCCGGCCCGGTTGCATGGTACCGGTACTGCTCCAGGTTGTTTTGCACGTCACCCGGCGTTAGCTGGGTCGAATGTCCTAACAGGCCTAGGCCTGCGGGCGCACGACTGCCAGAAGGATGCTCCAGCTCACGAAGAACCGTATCAATCAAGACGGTCGAGGAGGGTGGGATAGGAGCATTCAGCTCATCAGGTGGATCGGGTAAGTTTCCAGGCTGATTTGGAGGCGGAGTATGACTACTTCCGCCACTGACCGATCGAGAATAATGACTGACCTCTCTCGGAGACGGGGATCTGGATCCCAGTGGGGCAGTCAACATCCCCGTGGGGGTGTCTGCACATGTGCGGTCGGCGCCCAGATTGGGTACCAGATCAATATTCACGTCACGAAGAGCTGACAGGTAACCGTGGCCTGAAATGCTCGGTGATAGCATCGATAGCATCTGACCTTTTTCGCAACCGGGGTGGTCGGAACCAAAAAAAGCCCGGAACACGTCGCGCGCGATAGCAAATGGCGTCAGAGTCCATCCAGGTGTCGTGGGCGACGGTGAGTAAATGTGGTCAGCCCACAGATATGGCCGGGCCTCTTGGAAGCATCGTGCGGCTGATCTAACCATGCGTCTGCCCGCTGACTCCCGGGCATCAAGACCAGTGGTGATCGCGGGCATGGCTGGGGGGCCGGCAGCGGAATCCGCTGTGAATCCTAGAGTCGGTCTATCACCTTGCAGGAGGCTCCAGATTGCTGGCGTGTTAAACCCAACGGCCCATGCGAACCGGGCCACCTGTACCCAGAGGGCTTGTTGCTTGTCATCTGGTGGGCTCTGGGGTAGTGAGAGCAGGTCGGGTGCGTTCCGGAGGGCAAACAACCAAAGCTGGCGATAGGCGGATCCAAAGTCCACCGCGGTCGGGGAACGGCCAGATGGTTGCTCACCGCCAGGCCAGGCATGGTGACGCTGGGCCTCCTGCTCAAGGGTGGCGTGGCTCTGGAGAACCGGGAACAGGCGCCGAAGGATAGAGGCACCGGCGGTCAAGCACAAGGAATCCGTGGTCCACGTGTGGAGGGAAGGAATCCTTGTGTCGATCCGGGCCAATCTCTCCAGCAACCGCGCCCGGTCATCCGCCTGGGTGATAGTAGGGAAAATCCGGCCGGTCTCCAAGCCGTCTTTGATATGATTCAGGTCCAAGGTCGAAAGTCCCGGGCAGCGGCCTTCAAGCTCCTGGACGGTCTTATGATCAGCCTCGTCTGGGTGGATGCCACCAAGGATCTGGGACCATACATGGTGCACTCGGCGTACATAGTGAGCGAGCCTCTGGGGTTCCTCCGTCAGTTCGTCGTCTCCAAAAGCCTCGGCGCCACGGCAGTACTTACTTCTGGACTTCGAAGGGCAAACTTGCGTCGCAGCGTGCCCAGCCGTAACCCTTTCCACAGGGCACGGAACGGTAGGAGAGAGTCGAGCGCATCCCGGAGCTCGCGGTACTGCGGGAAATGTCGCAACCGTCGCACATCATAGCGTTTCTGCTTGGTGAGGATCCGACACTTCCACTGCTTTCGTTGGCGACGATCACGCCGCTGTGTTGCCAGTTGGATGTGACGGTAGACCTCGCCACCACAAAACGACCACACGCTGGTTGAATGTCCCGCGGCGATGTCACGCCGAGCGTCCGTGAACAAAGCTGTTGGGGAGTCAGTGACAAGCCACCGGTCATGGAGAGGAAAACAGCAGACGAACCGTCTCGATCATAGAGTGTGACCGTCCACCAACGGTCCTCCCGTGGACGATGCCGGAAAAAATGGCAGGCCGCTGCATGCCGATGCTGGCCGTGCAGACAACTCAATGCCTCCTTCTTCCGGAGTTTAAGATAGGGAGGCTCATGGTCGTTAGACCGCAAATCAGCTTCAGACAGGCCTGATCGTTGCAACACTCGATGAAGCTGGTCACGGGTGATGACAACGGGGATCGAATGTTCCGCGTCCCGGTTGTTGCACCCAACTTCTTTGAAGACGTCTACGAGGCGGTCAACGTTGGATTGGTCCAGCATCCGGGCCGTCGGAGATTCATGGTTAAACCGCAGGCGATTTAGCGCCACCCGTCCAATGCCAAGACGCGCCTCCGCCCTGGCGGCGGTGTTATTTTGCTCATGATCACCGGCCATGGCACACAGTACGCTTCAAATCAGAATATGGAAGATTTAAGGCATGCTTCAAGTGAGACTATGATTTAACGAAGCAGGGGAATTGAGGGAATGGTTCTAGCTTATATGTGTCATATCACAACTGGCCGCATGGAATATGGAGCTTTCTCCATTGTGCAATGTATAATAGCAAGACGCAAATACAGCTCTATTTTGTTGGACGTGTCTCATTCAAGAGTGTGCCATGAAGTACTATACCCCACCAGAAAGAACTCTCGCGGTGGGGGTTAATAGGGATAGGCTGCCCCTAAATTGGTATTAATGCAGGCGGCATCAGCTACGGCCTGTAACTGTATCTCGCGTGGTGCGTCATGCCTAATTAGGGATAAGTGCAGTTATACCGGGTTATCTATACTCCGTCATATGTTGACAAGGCATAGGCACGCAATATTCTATGTGATCAAGGCGTTTAGGTTTGAGGTAAGTTTCAATATATCATCGGGTAAAGTGGAAGAAGTTATATATCGATCAAAGATATACAGTATACGACACTGTCGGGCGACTTTTTTTCTCGTGCATATACATATATATATATAATCTTCCATGTCATGTGTCAACTAAACAGTACTATGACACATATCCCGATATTTCTCACTTTTGAATTTATCAAGTAAAGAGAGGTGCCGCGTATATTGATTTTTAAATCTTATTTTTTGTGGGTTATGTGAATAGAAGGCATGATCATTGATGTTTGTGGGGTTCTCCGCAAAACAGATTCACTATTCCTAAGCCGGCCTAGTGCACCTCGTGGGGCAAGACAACTGCCGGCAAGGTCATTATGCTCCCTTTAGATTTGCTCCAGGAAGAGTCAGGACTACTGTGGAAGAGACAGAAAAAGACGGAAGAAGACCAGAAGACAGCTAGGATTCTGTTTAGTCCACAGTTACGGAATAAGCTATTAAAAACAAATACATCTAGAACTTTCAAATTGCAGAGAAGTGAGACTGGAACATGCGCGAAAGACTGGCATAGCGACAAGCTATAGAACGATGGCTCTCTTGACCTGGTGTACGTATCAATTCTCCAACCAAAGTCTATGAAAGCCATGTCATTGGCCCAGGCAGAGTAGTCAGCGATGGGCGTACAGGCGTATCCCCTCCATGTAAACGGCGATGGAATGGGCACTCCGTGTGACTGAGGTATCGGCGTTCCAAGGGCGGATAACAAAATGCAACGGTTGGTGGGATTGAGATCGCTCCAGCCGCCCAATACAATCGGCTCGGCACATTGGGCAGGGGATCTGTATCTTTCCTGAAGCCAGCAGTCGCGACTCGAAATACTGACGGATATATTGACTGAAGCACTGTCGATGACACACATGGCCACATCCAACTGCAACAAGGCCATCAACAGTGTTCTCCCAGCAAATGGGGCAAGTTAGTCCGCTGCTTTTGTGCGGGATATCTTTGACGTGCAGAAGAGTCGAGTGGGGTGGTGCTATCGTTGCGCGTTTTGAAACCGGGTCATCCGGTATCACAATTGGATTGTCTACTTTGCTTGATTAGAAGTGCATGCAATGGCTCCAGTATCAACCACACCTGGACTGTTGCCAACACGACTGGTTATGTGCGATCTTGGAGTGTTCCGCTTCGCTTTTGGTGCAACGACCGCCAAGGATGGTGAATACTGGCGATAGGGGAGTGTGCGCGCAATGTTTCTTCGAGGTGCTGTCCTCTGCTGTCTATCGGGCATCCTTGCTGCGTGATTCTATCAACCTAATTAGTGACGTCTCCTCTGACAAAGTCCTATACCTACTAACCAGACTCACCGGGATAAACACTCGACGTCTCCTTGCACTATGGGTGCTGTCATAATGAGAAATCGCTGTCGGGATCTAGTGGACGCAAAAGCACATCAAACGGCCATCCAAGAACTCAATTGTTCGGATCATAGACGTGATCGAGCGAATATAAAGAAGTGTTCTAAATTGCGTAACATCGGTGGTAACATCTGAAGAGCCTTCTGGGTCTTGAGACATATGATTCTTTATTTATGGCATCCGGAGTATGGTCAAAAGCGGTTCGCTAAGTTGGACTGGGTCCATTCCTGATGCTGCGGAAATTCCTGTGGCCAACGAACAGTCCTCGGATCTGCAGTGGGAAGATTGTACTGTAGATTGTGGAAAACAAGTGTTTAGTTTACTCCGCGAGGTGCGCTAATCCGCATAAGGATAGTGAACTCCGCGTGGTACGCTAAACCGACTATCTCAATGAGAGCTCGATCTTCAAACACAACCCGGCAGAGCGACGATGGCCACGGACGCTAATCTGTGGTTATCCATACGATCCATATGTTTCTACTGTTTCCTACATCAAGGCGACGGTCAACACCGCACAGTGTACCTCGTCGTCGCATTGCTGATTTGCCTTTCTAAAATGGACAAATCAAAACTGGGCTAGCTCAAGAATGTGCTGCTAACTTAACTAATCAGTCCTGTATAAGTTATGCATCCAGTAATTTAATTAGTTCATGAATCGACTAATGATCAATGATATGAACTATGTTACATACCAGGTTGGTGACACTTCTGGGTCGCACCACGATGGCTTGGCGAATCATTCCCAACATGGGCTAGCGTACCTCGCGGGGTAGGGTCCACCAGGGTCTTGTTCTCTGGCTCAACTCACACCACACAAGGGTCACTAGGCATCTCAATCTCGTTACTTTGTCTATCGTGGTTTTGAAATTGACGCAGGTGAATGGTTCGCTCCATTGTTAACCACAGTTCAATGGTACTGACGGTGCTGTAGACCCGCCAATGTCCACATCTTGATGTGTATGCTATTGTAATAGAGGTCTGCCAGTTGAAGCATATATGGACGTATTATACTATACCGATATCCCCCGTCATTCTATTATTTTACTGGTGTTTTACTTCCTAGATCGGGCGGCAAAAATCATATCTCTGCGCGGGTTACCTCATCTACCCCCTATCACCTCTATTCCATCAGCATCACTATGGGTACACAGCGGAAGACTGCTGGCTACCACCGGAATGCGGCTCGGCGGAGAAAGACTATCTTTAAAAAGTGCGAAGAGTTGAGCCGGCTTGGGGTCGACCTTTGGATTATCATCGGTTCAACTGATCAAACACATGTCTTCAAATCAAGAGACCGTGGTCTGTTTGATAGGTTTGACAGGCGAGTGGTATAGAAGACTGATCCGGCTCTGCTAGCCAATATAAGGAGTATAAACTAAGTCCAAGTAGGTGCTATCGTGCGCTCGACCCAAATGGCAAAAGGCTTAAAAGAATATCCTGGCACCCACCACAGCGTCTCGTCGAGTGCGTATTATCGATCGGCTGCGTGCGGACCATTCAGGTTCTGCGATAGAGGAAAGTACAGCCATAGTTAAATGGGAATCCTGACTATGCTCCTACATTACCCTTGTACACAATCCGTAACATTTTCTGAAACTGCCTGTCGATGGGAGGAGAGTACAACATTCCAGGATTTTGGTTTGCATCGTAGTCGTTCATTACGATAAATCCTTTGACTTAGCCAAGATTCTGTATTATTACGTAGTGTACTATATGCAATGGCATGTGTATGTTTTAGTAAACACACGGACGGTGGATCACATCTCAGCAAGATCAAAACGAGCCACGGGTCAGATTTTGGATCCTGGTGGGTCTACGCATTTTTTATGAATCATATTTGGTATCTGTTTGTATGCGGAGCTGGGCAGTGGAGTATGTCTGGAAGACTTTGCGTATTGCCAGTGGCGCCCACCTAGTGGCGATAAAGCTGAGGTAAAGAAGGCGTCGTTTCCTGCTACATACAGTATAAGATCCCACGATCACCCTGGTGAAAACATGTCTCGGCTCTCAACCAATCCTGGAATTGCTGGATTGAATCGTTCCAATACAGACCGTCCATCTCTTTGGGTTAATAACCTCAGCTAGAACGCAACACCTTAAATTCAAAATGCCCGACACAAAACGCATGAGAAAGACTGATATTGGTATCAAGCAACCTGGTACGCCGGATATGGGCTTGCAAGCACAGAGTGGCCCACCGGGTATGTAAACACCCAACGGCGGTCAGTGCCATCTTGCTGCTCTGCAAAAAGCTTACCCTGGTCATATTTAGCCCCTCGCGAAATATCATCGACGAATTCCTCTGAGACCATCGCGTATCAGGGACTCCAGCACCTGCACCATACTATCAACTTTATTGGGCTAGCCGTTGGTGTTCTCGCGCTCGTGGTTCTGACTGCACACCAACTTTGCGTGGCCCCTTTGACCAACCGCTTGGACGCAATAGAAGTATTGCTTGGCAGTGCTGTGATCTATGCCTTTGCTTCTATTGTGTGGGATGGATTGCTCTCCTGGAAACTAGCATATCCTGACCCTCAGACGCACCGCAGACTGGCGTTAGCAATGGTTCCATTCTGCATGCTGTGTGTCGCGGTCGGCATGTTCCTCATCGGCTGTCTGCTGTGGTATGCAGAACGGTCGGAGAATCAAAGTGCGGCCTACTTTCTTGGCTTTCAGTTGGTTGCATGCTCGTGCCTGGCTGTAGGCTTTACTTTGCAGCTGGTAGCACCCGGGAGGAGGGTGCTCTAGAATCTGACATTGCTCTTGGTACCTAGTGATACCGAGTGGAACCCAAGTGGAATCAGGTAGCTAGCGTTCACGAAAAGCAGCTGGCAAGGGGAGTGAGAAAGTTGGTAACACACGTGTTGGGCGCATGTAACTGCTAAATGTGCGATGCTGCATCTTCTAGAGAGGTGTCTGCAGTCTTCAACCTTGATCGTATAATGTATCTATTGCATATCAACTTGAAATTCAATATTTGGTGTAAATCTGACTTTCTACATACGCACGAACCCTACAACTGTTGTCGTTTTATATTCATTAACCTAACCTCGCCTTTGGCCATCACCGTCGCCATTCTATTATTCCCATGTAGGTCGATATGCAATGACTCACTACAGTGCCTGGCCGGCTACGACATTGCCCTCCTTTTACGATTTTTCACGGCGCGACAGTGAGGATGCTCGTTCATCCATAGGTCATTCACTTTTGGGCCATACAGACGAACATGGATACTTTTATCTATAGTACTATTTTGTCTCGGGTAGCGGCGGTACGCATATATAATGGCCCAAGGCGCGGCGAAACAATACCACGATGCCATCCGGCAACAAAAGAAAAAGCACTGGAATCAATTTCTTGCCGACAACGATAACATATGGAAAGCCGCTAAATACCTGAAGTCGGGAGAAGACGCAGCGTTCGGGAAGATCCCGCAGCTCCTCAGAGGAGATGGGACCACCACCACCGATCATAAGGAGCAGGCAGAAGAATTGCTGGCCAAATTCTTCCCGCCCCTGCCGGACAACATTGACGATGAAGGGACTAGACCACAAAGAGCGCCAGTCGAGATGCCTACCATCACCATGGAGGAGTTAGAACGACAGCTATTTGCAGCGAAATCATGGAAGGCACCCGGAGACGATGGACTACCGGCGATAGTTTGGAAAATGACTTGGCCTACGGTCAAATACAGGGTCCTTGATCTATTCCAGGCGTCGCTGGATGAAGGCACATAGCCAAGACAGTGGAGACATGCAAAGATCATACCGCTCAAAAAGCCGAATAAAGAGAACTACACCATTGCCAAAGCATGGAGACCGATTTCACTCCTTGCGACGCTGGGCAAGATACTGGAATCAGTGGTTGCAGAAAGGATCTCACATGCGGTGGAAACTTACGGCCTACTCCCGACCAGCCACTTCGGAGCCCGAAAGCAGCGGTCAGCGGAGCAAGCACTCTTGCTCTTGCAGGAACAAACATATGCGGCATGGCGTGGCCGACGAGTCGTGAGCCTGATCAGTTTCGATGTCAAAGGAGCTTATAACGGGGTCTGCAAACAACGACTGCTCCAGAGAATGAAAGCGCGGGGTATACCGAATCAGCTGCTCCGGTGGGTCGAGGCATTCTGCTCGGAACGAACGGCGACCATCCAAATTAATGGACAAGCGTCTGAGATCCAAAGCCTTCCACAGGCTGGACTGCCGCAGGGCTCGCCCTTGTCCCCGATCTTATTCCTCTTCTTCAACGCAGACCTCGTACAACGACAAATCGACAGCCAAGGAGGTGCGGTTGCTTTCGTGGATGATTTCACTGCATGGGTGACGGGGCCAACGGCACAGAGCAACCGGGACGGTATAGAGGGAATTATCAAAGAAGCGCTCGACTGGGAAAGGAGAAGTGGAGCTACTTTCGAGGCAGAGAAAACAGCTATTATACACTTCACCTCTAAGGCTCACAAATTAGACCGGGAGCCATTTACCATTAAGGGACAAATCGTTGAACCCAAAGACCATGTCAAGATCCTGGGCGTCCTGATGGACACAAGACTCAAATACAAGGAGCATATGGCGAGGGCGGCATCCAAGGGCCTAGAGGCGGCGATGGAACTTCGACGACTCAGAGGTTTATCCCCCTCAACAGCGCGGCAGCTATTCACATCGACGGTGACCCCTGTAGTGGACTACGCCTCTAATGTCTGGATGCATGTGTTCAAAGATAAGGCCACCGGACCGATCAACCGAGTCCAAAGGGTAGGAGCGCAAGCGATTGTAGGGACGTTTCTCACAGTTGCGACCAGCGTAGCAGAAGCGGAGGCTCACATTGCTACTGCACAAAACCGGTTCTGGAGGCGGGCTGTGAAGGTGTGGACGGACATTCACACCCTACCAGAAACCAACCCTCTTCGCAGGAATACGGCTCGGATCAGGAAATTCAGAAGATTCCACCGTTCGCCGCTGTACCAGGTAGCAGACGCGCTGAAGAACATCGAGATGGAAACACTGGAAACTATTAATCCGTTCACATTAGCACCATGGGAGGAACGAGTGCAGACCGATATTCATGAAGTCCCAGAGTCAGAGACCGAAGCAGGCGGGTGCCTGCAGATCGCAGTAAGCAGTTCGGCACGGAACAATATGGTAGGATTTGGAGGATCGATCCAGAAGCAGCCACCTCGGTATCGAAAACCAAAACTGAAGACCTTCTCCGTCACACTGGGCGCAAGAGTAGCGCAGAACCCATATTCGGGAGAGCTGGCAGCATTAGCACACGCATTGAGCACCCTATCGGGATTGAAACGGTACAGAGTCACGCTACTTACGAGCAACAAAGCGGCAGCACTCACGCTACGAAACCCTCGACAACAATCAGGCCAGGAATACGTCTGCCAAGCATACAAGTTGATAAACAGACTACGGAGAAAGGGGAACCGAGTCAACATCCTTTGGGTCCCTACCAGCGAAGACAACAAACTGCTGGGCCTGGCGAAAGAGCAGGCCAGGGCCGCGGCCCACGAGGACGCTATCCCACAAGTACAGGCCGCCAGAATGAAGCCAACAACCTTAAATTTCGCACGATCCCGAGCAGCCACCACGAAAGACTTGCCAGAGGATGTCGGGAGACACGCCAAACGAGTGGATGCAGCACTCCCAGGAAAACATACCCGACAGCTGTACGATCGATTATCGTGGAAAGAAGCGAGCGTGCTGGCTCAACTCCGGACCGGCATGGCAAGACTCAATGGATATCTCTATCGAATCAACGTAGCAGACATGGACCAGTGTGCGTGTGGACAAGCGAGAGAGACCGTGGAGCACTTCCTATTTCGATGTCAAAAATGGACGGCGCACCGGACAGAACTACTACAATGTACCAACACCCACCGAGGAAATATATCCTTCTTTCTAGGAGGAAAGTCGCCTTCCGATGATCAGAAGTGGACGCCGAACTTAGAGGCGGTACGGGCCTCAATACGATTCGCAATCGCCACGGGCCGACTCGACGCCGCTTAACCACGTCGACCAACACAATGACACCCTTCCCCTAACTAACCTACACCAACCACCTTGTGCCAAAGATGGTAGACGCGCTTCAACTGCCGAGGATAGGATGTTGAACACTTGAAGAAGCGCCTTCAAGCCAGTCTATTAACAAAACTACTAACCCACAAGGATTCCTACGATATTGACAGCTGAGAGGACATATACTGAAAGGATCTATGTATGGGCTCGAAGGAGACACAGCATATGTACATTATGACCTGTGTTGATAGATCAGTGATAGTTGCCCTTTCGGCTTAGCCGCCGGGCGTTAATGAATTGTGTGTGTGTGTGTGTGTATGTAGCAATCACTCCCTGAGACCGGAAATGATCAAATCACATACATGTCTCAGCGACAGTCTGCAATCTCGTGATGACTTCACGGCGTGCGGGCATCCGGACAACAAAGAATCAACAAAAACGCCCGGGAGCGAGAGAAACGGCGGAGAGACCGGCTGGCTCTGGCTGGAAGCTATTACTGTATTTTTTTTTTCATTATACACCTTCATCCTGCCAAGTACCTTTAATCGACTGTACAGTGACGAAATAACTCCAATGCGGAGCAACGCCTGGGATTATATAGGGTGTGGTACCAACCTTAGTCTACCACGCGAGATTCACTATCCCCAAATTGGTTTAGTGTACCTCGCGGGGTAAGACGATTCACGGAAATAAAGTTCTAGCCACCGACGGCACATCCATCTTGGCCCCTGGGTGAAATGCGCGTCTTGGCCGACTTGGTTCGCATAGTGTAGGAAGTATGTATAACTAATACACAAGTTATAATAGATAAGCATCAAAAAATGATTACCACGTAGCGGGGAATCTCAACTATCTAGTAGTTTATGGTTCTAATCCCCACTCACAGGTGATACTGGACAGTATATATCTCTCTGGGGAGGGGATTTCATTTTACTTGAAAGGGGGGCACCTCAACACGCAGCTCGCACCCTACCAGTTTAACACCGACCCTATTGATTCTGGGTCTTCTACATTCAGCGGCAATGAATTTTCCTCCAATTACTATTTCCGATCAATGCGCAGAGATAGTCAAAATTGTGAATGTGATCTATGGCCGCTTGGCTCGAGTGGTCGCCCTGAAATCGGAGCTGAAAGAGACATCCGTTGATTTTCATGACATATTTATGCAGGCCGACGACCAAAATGATTATATCGAAGGGCTGTGTCGAGGCTCCCTCCATTTTGTCTCGTGTTTGATATCCAGGGCGTGGCACGAACAGATCGAGAACTTGCCAGTAGTTGAAATGGCTCATCTACAACTGTGCAACGCCCTGGAGCTATTCTATCAAATCCAATGTGATGTGGGCAAGCTGCTGGCCTCTCTTTCAATCAAGCAACAGAATGCCGTGTCTACGAAGGTGGGTATCGCTGCACAGGTGCGCGCCCAAGAAGCTCGAGTCGACCGCATTGAAACCGACCTAGACTGGGCCATGGTACTTCAGCAGCACCTTCACCTACTGAAGACACGATGGATTTCGGGCGCAAGGGGCAGACGACGTGGCCCTCTGATACAACACAATTCCAGCGACAGGAGTGGACGCGTGCGTCATTTCTTTGGGAGGTGGCTATCAGGACAAGGACTTTCCGAGGACCAATGAGAGGATGATTGGGGACTTCTATTCAAGTGGTAATACGGATATCGATAAATCTCGTCTTTTCCAACGCCTCTCCATATTGCCCCAACCATGAAAAAGGAAATGCATGACGCCAATATTGCTGAGGTGAAGAGTGGAACGGTGGAAAGAGGACTGCTGGAGACGAATCCTGTCAGCATGTATCTATCCCAGAATATCTAATGCAGATATTATAATACTCACAGATCTTTATCCCAGCATCGGGATAGGAGTACCGGTCTTCCAATTTCGTCCACTGCATGCCTATTCATTGTACGTACATATATGTAGTATGTCGATTCTAATGGGCTGCGCATTCCTCTCTTAACAAAGCACCTTCTGCCTTCCCAGGTGGTGTAGTTCCCACCTTTGAGGCGCAGAAATTCATGATCAGCTGCTAGCTAGGTGTGAGATCATTCACTACACTTCCCTCGCCTATTGTATCAATCTCTCAGTCGACCCAGACAACCACCGCCCAGCCTCCACATTCCAAACATATAATAGAAAACCACCCAGCTAGATTGTCCCTCATTTTCTGGACAAAAGTAAGTTGAAATACACTTCGTCATTTCGTCCGTGAAGTGACGACTACTATGCATTGGACTAGATATAAGCGGTACTGGTACCAGAAAATCACCATTCTCAAGAGGGCATGTTCTACTGTGCGTACTACTTGGCGATCATGGACAGCATCTGTGTGGAAAGGCCGACCCCCAGCAAATTCCATAATCCAGTCCCGCTACAATGATATGCTGCTGGAACAGGAGAATGTTCCCTGGTTCCATAACATATTAGCCAGCGGCTTTGCGTGGATACTGCTGGCTGGATACTTGGTATTTCCCGGAACATTCACATCGCTTCGTGACTCAGAAGCCTTGCAGGCTATGGCATCCCAGAATAAAGTGGGTTCTGCTGTCTACTACTCGGTTCAAAATATGCCACTGTTAGGACTCGCTGCCACGTGCTGCATCGTGGGCGGGACCGGCTCTATCTGGTTATGGTGGCAGTGGAGGACGAACTACCTTTGGCCAACCCAGCATCTTTTCATGTGAGCTGTCCTTTAGTGATTACTGCGTGCAGAAATGTCGGGGACTGACAGTTCTTACAGTCCCATCCTCATCCACTCTGCCACCGGTCTTGTGAATACATGCATCAGTGTTTACACCGCCCGTCAAGGAACCTGGTCAGTCTCTGCAACAGTCACTGCGGTAGTAACCGGGGCTTGGACGAGTCTGGGAGCGATCATGGTTCTGATCTATCACCTCCTTCTTCGGAAAGTGAAAAAGGAGCATAACGTCAAGCTAGCCAACGCTTCAGCGGAAGAAAATCGCGGGCCAATCCATACCAGCTGTCGATTGTCTCCAGATGATTCATGCCATAGGGAGCCCCCGATGAGCCTGTGGTTCTAATATCATATGTGTGGCAGCTTTCACCTGGATTACCATAATGGCCAGATATCCCGTGTCTCCGCCTCTGAACGAGGATATACTACCGACTCTCTATTTTGTCCTGTGAACACGTTATGATATGGTGAGAACCCATTAAGCTCCAGTGCAAGGGGGTACACACACGGTATATTAACGCTCGGCGGCTAAGCCGAAAGGGCAACTATCAGTAATCTACCAATACATGTCCTAATATATGCCGTGTCTCTTTAGAGCCCATACATGATTACTTCAGTATATGTCATCTCAGCTGTCAATATCATGGCTGGTCCTTGTGGGTTAGTAATTTTGCTAGTAGGCTTGCTTGAAGGCGTTTCTTCAAGTATTCAGCATTCTATTTTCGGTAGTTGAAGCGCGTCTACCGTGTCTGGCACGAGGTGGTTGGTGTGAGTTAGATCGGGAGAGTAGGTGGATTGTGTTCGTTGGCATGGTCAGGTGGCGCCGAGTCGGCCCGTAGCGATTGCAGACCTTATTGAGGTCCGTACCGCTTCGAAGTTTGTGGTCCAATTTTGATCGTCCGAAGGCGATTTTTCGCCAAGGAAGAAGGATATGTTGCCTCCGTATGTGTGTGTACATTTCAGCTGTTTCGTTCGGTGTGCAGTCCACTTCTGACATCGAAAAAGGAATTTCTCAACGGTCTCTCTTGCTTGTCCACATGCACACTGATCCGTCTGCGCGACCTCGATTTGATAGAGATATCTAGTCAATCTAGCCATGCCAGTCCGGAGTTGGGCCAGCACACTCGCTTCTTTCCACGATAATCGATCATAAATCCGCCAGGTGGGTTTTCCTGGGAGTGCTGCATCCACTGTTTGCATGTCTCCCTACATTCTCTGGCAAGCCTTTGCTGGTGGCAGCTTGGGATCGTGCGCTATCTAGGGTTTGTTGATTTCATTCTGGGGACTTCTGCTTGTGGGATAGCATCCTCTTGGGTCACAGCTTTAGCCTGCTCTTCAGCCAGGCATAGCAGTTTATTATCTTCGCTGGGAGGAACCCAAAGGATGTTGAGTTGATTTTCATGCCTCCGTAGTCTCCTAATCAGCGTGTATATTCGGCAGATATGTTCCTGGCCTGACTGTTGTCGAGGGTTCCTCGGCGTAAGAGCGAGTGTACAGTACAGACGGCGGCTGAATCAGTTTGACACCTGCAGAGCTGTTGCTTTGCTTAAATTAGCGCCAAGTCACACTACTTTAGATAGAGACGAGTCATATATTGTTGTTACAGTAATCCTTCTTTCATTACGCGCTGTCCCATACATTACTGTATATGACAAACAATGCTTTAGCATAGAGCTTTTCAAACAGGAGTGTGTCTACAATTACAAGTCTGAGATAGGAGATTTAAAGTACTTCTGTGGGATTCAAGTGCCTGATCAAAGATTCAAGCTATCTAGGACCCTTTACACTATGTATGTATGTATGTATAATTCATTTACCCCGACCTCTCGCCTTTGGCGATATGCAGGTTACCACAACTATATATATATATATATGTATCCGAGTATAAACATGTAGAATCATCCACTTCCTGAAAACGAACTTAGAGCCTCGTCAGGGCCTCCCGTGGCCTAATTGCCGCTTTCACTGTTAGGCTGCCCTTGTGGCGCGCGGCTGCGAAACCGCTGTGACGCCTCGGCGAAGTCCAGCACGGCATTGACCGTTTTGGCTCGCGAGACGGTGTCTGGTTTACCTCTCTCACCTTCGATGGAGCCTCCCAGCAGACTCGCCACGCTATTGAACGCGTCCCCGACTTCTTGCCTTAGCTTCCTCCGCAATTCGGCCAGTCTTGGACAGTCTACCAGAACGTGGGTGACTGTTTCTTGTGCGCCGCAGACGCACTGATCGTCCTCCCGGAAGCCAAAGGTCTTAGCGTAGGTAGACAGCCAGTTGTGGCCCGTGCGTAGCTGTGTCAACAGGTACGCCCGGCCCCTGGGCAGACTTCCATATAACCTCCGAGTATATGTTGCCGGTAGGGTGGTGTCGATCTTCCGTAAATGGCCGCCTTTCGCGCTTGATTTCCACTCTTGCTCCCACTGAGCCCGGATTCCACCGCGAATGCGTGTGTTCTCCCTCGTCAGGAGCGGGCGGAAGGGGTGGGTCTTGCCTGGGCACGCAGCTCCTCGAGCTAGTCGGTCTGCTGCGTCGTTCCCGAAGTCATCGCTGTGTCCTGGAATCCATTGGAGACGAAGCAAGATGTTGGCTGCTTGAACTTCGGCGGCCGCTGAGAGGATCGCGTGGACGATCCGTTGTCCTGATTTATTTCTTGCGCTTTGGATTGATTGTAGTGCTGATTTGCTGTCACACAGGATAGTTGCAGTTGGTTGCCGTCCGCGCGCGTCGCGTAAGCGCTGGTGAGCCAATCTGAACACCATATTGATGGCGTAGTAGATGCCTATCAGCTCTGCTACGTGAACCGACCAACGGTCCGCTGGCCCCACTTGAATTTGTTTAGATTCCACTACCTCCAGGTTTTCATCCAGCGTGACCACCGCCGCGCCTAGATGGTCTTTGAGGCCGGAAGCATCCGAATACACAACCACGTCCGATGTGGACCGCGCGGTCTCCGCTCGTTCCCTTGCTACTTCACGGTCTGATTCGATCTCAATCTTTGCGAAGGCATCGGCGCGCCACGGTGGCAACGGCCGCGGGTCGATTGTTTCCAGCCCATTTAGCCTGTCCTGGTCCATGGTCTTCAACGCTTCCGCCAGCGGGAAGCGCGCAGACGTGCAAACGTTGTTTCTGCGTTTCTGAGCTCGCAGGAGTGCCGCCCACACTGGGTGGTCTCGAGGTAGTGTGTGAAGTCTGGCGATGGTGCGCTGTGCTCGGTGACGAAGGCGAAGGTGCGTGGGAAGTATGTGGGCTTCCACTTCCAGCGTTGCGGTCGCTACCGTTCTGAATGCCGACAGAACGCGGACCAGAGGTGTTCTCTGTACTGTGTTCAAGTGTCGCAGATGCGTCTTGTCCCGTAGTGGGTCGTGCCAGACTGTCGACGCGTAGTCCACCACAGGCGTGACACATGCCTGGTAGAGTTGTCTCATCTGTTCTGGGCGTAGGTGTCGCAGTCCGCACAGTGCGATTGCTGTTTTGGTTGCTCGTTTGACAGCCTGTTGAACATGCTCTTTCCACCGTAGCTCCTGGTCAAACACCACTCCCAGTAGCTTGGCTGTGGTCGACGGCCGGATCACCGTTCCATCCACGACCATCTGTCCTTCCAACTGCTCTCCTTTCTTCCTGGTCAAGTGTATCAGCTCGGTTTTCTCGGCTGCAAAGCTGGATCCGGTGCGCCGCGCCCATTCCTCAATGCGAGGAATATCCTCGGACTGGATCTTGGCCAGGTTAGCCTCAGCCGATCTGCCCACTCGCCAGCGGAAATAGTCGTCAATGAACGCTGAGGCGCCCCCATGGTAATCTACGGGCTGATCGACGAGGTCGGCGTTGAAGAAAGCAAATAAGATGGGGGACAGCGGTGAGCCCTGTGCCAGCCCAGCATTTGCGAGCGGCTTCATCGAGGTGCGGAAGTCGTCGAATCCAACGCTCGCATGGCGGTCGCTCATGAAACTTGCGATCCATTTCCGTGCGGTTGTGGGGATCCTTCGTGCCTGCAGACAAGCGTCCAGGCTAGTTTTGTTTACGCCGTTGAAGGCCCCCTTCAGGTCAAACGAGACGAGGGTCACGACTTTCTGTTTGTACCACGCACGGTCGATTGCGTTGGAGAGGACCAGCAGGGCCTGTTCGGTCGTCCTCCCTGGGCGTCCGCCAAACTGGCTGTTTGGAAGTAGCCCGTGTTTTTCTGCTAGGAATGACAGCCGCCGGGCCACCACTGACTCCAGGAGTTTACCCAGGGTGTTCAACAGTGAGATTGGGCGATAGGCTCCAGGGGTCGAGTAATCTGACTTCGCTGGTTTCCGCAATACCACGATCTTCGCGCTTCGCCATTGCTTTGGATGATGGCCTAGATTCAGGGATGCGGTAAAGATGCTGGTGATAATGTCTTTTAAGTGGCTCCATAACTTCTTCCACACGAGCATCGGCAGACAATCTTCTCCGGGTGCGGTAGTTCCTTTAGCCGCGTTCAGTGATCTTTGTATCTCCAGTTCGGTGATCGGTTCCCACGGGAGTTCCAGTTCCGTCACATCTGGTGGACGTGGGTCGGGCGGGTTCATTTCCGGGAAGAACGAGTCAAGGAACGCTTGTGCTTTATCTTCATTGTCAGTGAGCTGTATTGCCCCGGCTTGAAGTGCAGGGACGCATCCCCAGGCTTCCCGAGGTTTCATATAGGTTGCGGCTTTCCAGAGCTTGCCTTCGCCTGCTTCATCGAGAAACTGTTTCCAATGTGATGCTTTCGCTTTTTCGATCTTCCGGGTCCACTCTCGTCGTTTCCGCTGCATGTTTAGGAAGGCGGCCAAGGTACTCGGATGGTCCCGACCAAGTTCAGCGCAGCTCGTTTGCCACCTTCTGCGAACCTGGTTGACTTCAACCTGTTGAGCTTTGAGGGCCGGGGTGAACCATCGTTTGGCGTATGGCGATGGGCGCGCGTCTGGCGTGAACTGGTCTACGGCCTTAGCTGTCACTTTGGTAAGCTTTTCCACAATCATGTTGAGTGCCGGTCGAGTTCTAATTTCCTTCCACGGACTCATTTCTTGGAGTACCCGCTCGCCGATTTTAGTCCAGTCTGCGCGGTCATACACTTTCCTCGCTTTGGTGCTTGGTTTGGTCTGAACTTGCAGGTTCCATTCGGAGTATGTGGCCCGGTGGTCTGACCCATAGTTTTCGTGGTACAGGTGGCACTTGACGAGCAGGTCCAGGTTGTCAGTCACTGTCTGATCGATCGTGGAATTCTGTCCTGGGTCGTTCAGGGCCCAGTAAGTTGCTGTCCCACGGGGAAGGCACCCATGAAGACCGTTATTTTGGAAGAAGGCGACCAGGTCGCTGGCGTCCTCAATGAATCGGGTTGATATATGATTGCCGCCCCACAGGGGGTGATGGCGGTTGAAATCCCCGGAGAGAATGATACTAGTAGTCCGTCGGTTGTCTTGCACCGTAGACGCGATGGTGTTCTGAATCGCTGTGGGTGCTGGCTCCGACGATGTGTTATCACCCGAGTAAATCGGGACTGAAGGTAGGTAGACGGAGAGAAGCAGGATTTGCGAGTCGGATGTCCAGATTTTGACGGCTGCGACGTCTGGGTGGTCGCATGGTACTTGGCGATGCGAGGTAGTGGACACGCGTCGATTGACATAAACTAGGCTACGAAACCGAGTTGCGTCGGCCTCGACTGTAGGTCGGTAGAGTCGCCAGGCGCTGTGGTTGACATGTGTGCGGTAGGTCGTGATGGATGGTTCTTGGATGAGAAGGATATCCAGGTCTTGGGTTTGGCGGTCGTTGATGAGTGCTTCCATTCGTGGTCCTGATTTCATCATGTTCAACTGGAGGATGCGTAGATTGCTTTCTAGCATCGGTTGGGGTTAGGGGTCGCAGGAGATGGACATTGTCGATCCCCAGTCGCGTGTTCGCCGCTGCAGTCGAGGCACTGGGCCCTGATTCCTGGTGGGCATCGCTGCCGTTCGTGCGGACCTGCACAGTGTCCACACCGCGGGGTCTCTTTGCATGACCATGCCAAGTGTCCGAATCGTTGGCATCGGAAGCACCTCTTTTTCTTAATCTCACGTCGCTCTACGCTCCCTATGTACCGTTTGTCGATCACGAAGCCTCTGTTGATGAAATGATCCGCCCCTTCTGGGGAGTCGAGCCAGATTCCCAGGGATGCAAACTTCCCGAGGGCCTTATCTGCTCTCTTGAGCCATACCACCTCCTCGATGCGGTGGCCTTGTTCCGCAAGATCGTTTTGTTCCGTGATTTTCTCTATCACCTGGTTATAGTCGGTTTCTAGGTTGAGGTCTTCTGTTGGAGTTCGATGCACGACCACACCGAACCGTGGCTTTACCAGTTTGGTGTTATTGCCCAAGTCTTCCAGCCACTCAGTATTACTGCGGGCTATTTCGGCCGATTCTGGGTCTTTGAATCGAACTATATATCCTGTCTTGGTGGTGCCAACCCCGGCTACCTGGGCGTCTTGTGTCGTGACAGCTTTCGTGAGTGCGGTGTGGATGTGGGTGAATGCCGCCTCGGTTGAAAGATATCGTGCAAACGTGTTCCCATCGGCGTTCTCATTATCTCTCGGGTCAACGAATGTTCTCTGGGTGCTGATTCGGACGCAGTTTGCTTCTTTCTCAGCTCGTTGCGGAGTTTGGGGTGGACCCTGAGCGCTTTCTGCCGCAACTTCTGCCCAGGATCTGGCTGGGGTCGTTGGTGGCGTAGCTTCGACTCGTGCTCGCACAGCCTTCAGCTCCTCATGAAGCTTGTCGTTCTGTTCCTGGAGGACATGCTGGCTATGTTTAATCTCCTGGAGCTCGTTCTGGGTGGCTTCGATCGCTGCGGTTTGATGGCGGATAATGTCTTTCAGGGAGCCGATGAGTTTCCACACCTCCTTAGTGGTGATTCGGCCCGCCGGGTCCGCCGGTGTAAAGGCATCGCCACTCCGAGTTCGTTTCCGGTTTTCGTTCAGCAGGTTGGCCGTGTCGCTAGTCGTTCTGGTTCGCAGGTCGTCCCCTGCACAGCTGGCGGTGGTTTCTTGGCTGTTTGTGGGATGGGGCTCGGGCCCTCCCGACGGTGGGTCCGCCATCGATCTGGGGTTCGGTACACAAACACAGCAATTTTTATATCTCAATATCAACGCCAACGCCAGCTATACTTCTTCCGTTGCTGTCACCTGTACCGTTAACTACAGTATTTGCTATACTACAGTATTTCCGGAAAATGGTGTCACTACCTTCATGCTCTTTGTTGT